GTAATGTCTGGCATCAGAAGACGGAGAAGATCAAGAAAAGAAGAGCGAGAAAACAATGGAATTTGTTAGAAACTGCATGAGCAATGAAATGCGAGACAATGGATTGATGTCTGCAACAGCAACAGCCCGGTTTGATATGATAGAATGATATTTTGCAAATTAACGATTTACTATATGGTTTTTCTATTTTATCAAGTAATTCTGTAATTTGTCCCAAATACAATTTGGCTGTCCTCACCCGTGTTCTTCTTCACTACAATAGGGGTTACAGATTTGGACCTTTTATTTGGCTTAGAAGTTGGGGAAATTTCTCTTTTACTGGAGTTATTGGCCATGATTTGAAGATGGGTGAGCACAGTGCTCGTTAAATTAAATATAATATCTGGGTATTAGTTGTTATTAAGTATTAACCTGGTTAATACTAGGATTAGAGTCTATGAGTATATAATAAATTGTAGATCTATTTAAGACTTAGGTCCGCAATAGGTGCAATATGAACTGGTAATTGTCCGTCGAATAAAAAGAAATATTCTTATTTTTAGGGCTAAGATGTACCCGATGTACAGGACAGGATGATAATCACAGTGTAATACACCCTACAAAAGAACAAGTCGAAGAATTCCTAAACCACGTGAAAAAATGTTACCACTTTCAAAGTTCGCGCGATTAGTTATGGATGATCAGAGATAGGTCATATCTAACTGCCGGCCTGTCAGTCTAACTAGCATAGTCGTTAAGTTACTTAAAAAGATAATTCGGGTTAGGTTGCTAAGCCACATAGATTCATACAATCTGTTAGCCCCTGAGCAACATGGATTTCGTAACAAGCGTTCATGCTTGACTTTCTTGTTGCGAGAGAGGATTGGACAGCAGCCGTAGATAACGGTCTGTCTGTCGATGTGATATTCATAAATTTTAGCAAAGCATTTGACAAGGTTTCACACGTAGGTCTTATGTAGAAGCTCACGAGCTTCGGAATACTAGGTACTGTACAGGAGTGGTTGGGAAACTTTTTATGTGACCGCAGACAGTGAGTGAGGGTCAATGGGACGCTATCTAATCGGAAGCCGGTCAAAAGTGGTGTGCCCCAAGGAACCATCATAGACCCTCTGCTCTTCCTTCTCTACGTTAATGAGTTACCACTGTTGCTTAGGTCGTCGACATTATTGTTTGCGGATGATGTAAAAATCTGGAGAACAATAAAAAATGAGGGTGATGAGCTGGATCTTCAAGCTGACTTAGACGATTTAGTTAGATGGGCTCGAGGTTGGGGCTTTGAAATCAATTATCGGAAGAGTGTGCTAATACACATTGGTCATGGTAATAGTTACCATTATACTATTGATGGTAAACTTCTTCCACGCGTTCAAGAACATAAATACTTAGGAGTAATAATAAATGATGACTTGAAAACAACTACGCATTGCAGCGCAGCTGCTGTCATAGGTTTTCGTGCGTTATGGTCACGTTACCGAGCATTCAAATGCTTTGACGAGGAAATGTTTTGAATTTTATATCCCACCCATGTAAGACCACACTTAGAGTACTATATCCAAGCAGCTAGCTCATGTCTGGTAAAGGATACTAACTCACTTGAACGCGTTCTGTGTGTGGGAACAAAATTAGTGAAGGATCTTTCTAAACTCACTTACGATTAGCGTTTAAAACGCCTAAATTTTTTCCCTTTGTCGTATTTAGGACGCGAGGTGACCTTATACTGGCATTTCGTATCTTTGATTATAAATTGGGTGTTAATATGTCTTATGTTTTTGCTCCCTCCAGCACTAATAATCTCCCAGGTCATATCGTGAAGGATTACAAACTGCGCCCTAATAAACTTAAAGTGGCGTCCCGTTTCCTTCATCGAGTAGTCAATGACCGGAACGCCCTACACGGCCAAGTGGTATCAGCCCCATCAGTTTCAGTTTCAGTTTGGGAAGGACAGGAGGCCCGATGGCTTGTGTTAGTCCTGTCAGTGATGGTCCCTCAGTTGATCCAACTTTCTTTTGAAAGAATCGACGGATGGAGCCTCAACCACGTGCTGAGGTAACGAGTTCCACTCGTTGATGATTCGACGGGAAAGTCGATAGTCAGCTGATAAGTAATTTGTTCTTGGCTTGTGAACTTTCATGGAGTGTCCTCGTAAATTCTCTGTTTTGGATGACAAGAAATATGAGTGTATATCAGGTGCAAATTTGGCACTAAGCAATTTGAAAACTGTAATCAAGTCGCCTCTGGTTCTGCGATATGACAACGGGAAAAGGTTTAGCTTGGCTAGTCGAGCTTCATACGGAAGTTTCGCTATTCCGGGAATCATCTTAGTTGCCGTTCTCTGAACCTTTTACAGAAGCTCACTGTCTTTTTTTAAGCAGGGTCTAGCCGCTTGTATGCAGTACTCAAGTTTAAGACGTACGAATACTGTATATAAAGTCAAAAACGTCTTAGCGTCGACATGACTAAAAGCCCTACGTATTGACCATAACGTTCTAAAACCTTTGTATGTTCTTAGTAACATTTAAATTGTTTAAATTATTTGTTTCACTTTCAGCAAAAACCACTGACCACCACCATCTACAAATGAGTTTCAATATGAAATAAAGTTTAAAAATACAATATTTAAAAACACATTAAACTAATCAAACGATTTTCTAGTCACGAATTTTTTATTTTTAACATTATAGCATTTATTGCAAAATCTAAATTATTTACCAACTAGTCCTAGCGTTTATGATTTCAAGCAGAGAAATTACAACATATTTATTTACAATGAGGAGAGAACACAAAAAACACATGTGTTTGCTTTCATATAGATGATCACAATGCTTTCTGAAGCTGATAAACATTATAATTATTCATTATAATCAGTTAATTGCACGGCAGTGTACAGTAGTCTTTAAGTATTGGCTAACGATTACTCCTAAGTCATTATGTGTCTGGACGACAGGTAGCTCAGTGTTAGTCATCGAGCATGTATCTGTACCTTGATGACCGATATGAATCACAACACACTTGGAAGTATTTATCGGCAACTGCCAGGTTTGAGACCATTCAGATAATTTTTTCAGTTCATTTTGGAGTTCTAAGCTATCACCCTCACATCGTATCGTTCTCCAATTCTCGACGTCGTCAGCATATAGCAAGACCGATGATGATAGGAGACGAGGAAGGTCATTTACATACAAGAGGAATAGCACTGGCCCCAAAACTGTACCCTGGGGCACTCCACTAAGCACAGTTTCCCAGCTAGATAACTTTGAGTTCACCCGTACTCTTTGTTGACGCCCAACTAAGAATCTTTTATCCACATGAATAGATTGCCTCAAATCCCGACATTTCTTAACTTACATAACAGCCGGTAGTGCGGAACCTTGTCGAAAGCTTTACTGAAATCGATGAACGCAACGTCTACAGGTAACTTTTGGTCCTTAAGAGCGCACCAGCTTTCACGAGCGACTAAGTTAGTGAAACAGGAATAACATATTCTGAAACCGTGCTGCTTCTTCGAAATGATCCGGTTTTCATCGAGATACTTAAACAGCTCCTTCCGAATAATCTTTTCTAAGATTTTAACAACCACACTAGTTAGGCTAACGGGGCGGTAATTCTCAGGTTTGTGTTTCGTACCTGCTTTGAAGACAGGACTTACTATGGCGTTTTTCCAGTCTTTGGGTAAACGACCCTGCGTTACGGATAGGGTTCGCAACGAAGTTAGATAATTCCTTCAGTAGCCTAGGATGTAATTCATCGGGCCCCGTGGATTTACCTATGTCAAGCTTATTTAGTAGACCAAAGACATCGAGTTCTTTAATGGTCACGCTATCCAGTGTATGTGTGGGGGATCTGTATGCGCTGATGGGAATGGTGCTTCTATGGTGTATACATTGCTAAAGTAGTTCGAGAACACTTAAGCCTTACGAAAGCCGTCCTCCACTAGTGACGCAGCAGTACTGTCTCCCCATACAGCAGGAATATTTCCTCTTCTCTTTGTCCTTTGGTTTATATAAGAATACAAGCGTTAAGGACATTCTATTGATTCCTTAACAATCTTTTCTTCGTACAACTTTCTAGACTTACGGAGGGTCGAGGCACAGGTATTCCGGACTTTTCTATACCGGGATTTAGTTTCATCAGTCCCCAGTAACCTAAATCTATCCCACATTTTTCTTCTCTTACGGAGAAGGATGCGGACCTTCCTACTGAACCATGGTGGGACGTTTCTCGGTCCCCTTGGTATAGTTCAAGGGATGTGGGGTGCGGTAACTTTTAAGTATGAATTTCGAAATGCGTCCCAGGCCGTTTCAACTGAAGACTCTTGGTCTGTTGTCCAATCTACTAACGATGCTGAGTGCATGATATCTGGTATATTTGCTTTTCGGACGTTAGGTCTGGATTGAGCTGACGCGTGCTCGTGACTGACAGTCATATGGAAGTCGAAAATTAAAACTGCGTGGACACTTTTACCTAGGAGTGGCATATAATGAAGGTACGCAACGTCATCTACATAGTGAGTGAGTATCAGATCTAGCAAGGATGATTCAGTATTCGGGTCGTACCTAGTGAATATTTTCAAGGAGAAGCTGGATCTTCACTGAAAGGCAGTCTGCCAGGATTACCACAGGTTCATCAACCTACTATCCTTATTACCGAAGACTAAAGACTGAAGACACTGACCTTTTCACTGAAGCACATTTGCCAGTGATCTGCTGTTTGTGAAACTAGGTTTCTAGCATTCATTATTCCAGATAATGAATCGATTGACGTATGATTATTCTTTCAATTTGTTTTTCAGTAAATATCCAGCTTCCCATAAAATGTCTGTTGATGGGAGTCGATGCGACTCAAACTAATTTTTTCAGCAAAATTTCAAGCGAGAAGATGAGAGGGAAACATTATTATTTTTCATAATAAACAAATACTTTTTTAATACAGTCTAAATGAATTTTATACATTTGTTATAAACGTTAAACTTAATTACCTTTCCTTGACTTATTTTCGCTTTCAAATAGCGCAAGGTTTAACGTTCGCGAGAAATGGAGGCGACAAATGATCTGAGGTCACCTTATGACAAAGCAAATATTTTCTCCAAAATGTTTTTTGTTTGGCTCAACCCTTTATTCGCGCACTCACATCCAAAAACTTTAACGAGTGACGATGTTTATGTGTGCCCTGAAAGTGAAAAAGCTGATTGGAATACCGAAAAATTAGCACGGTAGGACTCATTTAAGCCGGTGGGAAATAGATGATTTTAACAGAGAGTGGGATTTAGAGAACAAAAAGAAAAATCCGAAACTGTTATTGTCGGTGTTTAAGGCATTTAAAAAAGAGTTATTTATTTCAGGTTTATTTATGATATCTAAAGTTTGTATTTTTAGCAGTTTGCATCAATCCTCTTTTAGCTAGCTTGTAATATTTCCAAATCAATAATTCTGCGGCAAGTTTTGCTGGGGTTTAATGATATCGAAGACCGTCAGAATATGATCAGAGCCATTATCTTTAGCTTCGCATTTATTTTGAACACCATTGTGACGGTTATAGTTGTAAATATTAGCTACTGGATTTTATATCGTCTAGGTACACGTGTGCGAGTCGCAGCGTGTGGTTTGATTTTCAAAAAGGTTTGTTGTTTATATCAAATTTATTTTTTAGTTACTTCGGCTTAACCAGAAAGCACTGGGATGTTCAACAACTGGTCAGATAATCAATTTGTTGTCTGTAGATGCTCAATGTTTTGATAATGTGAGTGTGAACACTTCAATTCTGCCATTGATATTTTTTAAAACGTCAGGTCAAGTGTATTATGCGTTGCATGTTGCTTACGATTATTTAGGTATGCAAATAATACCCTCATTCAGCTTGATATTTTATTAACAAACAGCATATTAAACTAAAATGTCGACTGAAAAATCCAGTTTTTTACCAATCTATTGATATATTGTCTATGTTTTTCAATGTTTGTTTCAATAAGAAACTATCTTTTGATGAGATATAATGTGTGTAACTTCAACTGGTGGAAAGTATGATAAAACGCGGTCAGGGATTCATGGTGTGAGACTAAGAGTTTAATTTCAAGCGTGATACTTTTACAGATGTACTGCAGGACGGCTTGGGTTATGGTTACTTTTAAGAAGACAAAAACCCTTTACATTGTTAGGTAAGACTTTTTAACCCTGAATATATTCAGTGTGTTTTGAAAAAGTGACGTTGGGCCATATTTTCTGAAGATAGAGCTTGTATAATTTGTGTATAGTAGTGACAGACGAGTAAGAATATGAAAATGTCGGAACCCCAGTTATTACTCCAAAGCGTACAAAACAAACAAGATAATAAAACTGGAGAATAAATATGTACAAAGTACATGAGTTACTTGTTATTGTCAGAGGGGTGCATATTCAAAGGTCTAAATATATATCTACAATTATGATAATGTAGGAAAAATAATCCCAAGGAATTTCAGAAATAGATCCTAGTTGTTAGTATGCAACTGACAGAGAATATGCTATATGACGTGAGTTAAAATGTGTGCAATAAGAGTTTTGGTGGACAGTTAGGCAACGGCAGTTAACAAAGTCAGGATAAGGTAAGTTCGTGAGAAATAAGACATCATGAAGATTTTTGACAATTTAACATACAACAATAGCAAGTAAATAGTTGGTAAAATTGTTTTCTTTTGAAAAGAAAATCTGTGCAACTAGGACATGGTCGTACATCTTATTAATCGACGGAATAATTTCTTGTGCATTTCGTTTAATGTTTTCGTGTAATGCGTAGCTTTACTATTTAATGTTATGCTTCATAATTGTTCAAAACAATAAAGTTCCTCTCCCACAAACTTAAGACCATATTATGTAATTACGTGGGAATAATATCTTAAAAGCATTTTAAATGAGCATGATTGTCAAACAGTACTTTTTGACCATATACTAATCATCCTTCTATAACAAACCATATAAAATACAATGAATAAATTTCAAGGAATGGTCTTGGATATCTGTATTCTATTTTTCATTGCTATAACACCATTTACTTGTTGTGTAACGAAATAATATTAGTAGACAGATTTATATCACATTCACTGGGCACAGAATAAAGATCCAGAAATGTGTCGTCCACCACACTAGTAGCATTGTAACTGGTCTTGTGCTTCACCTTGTGATTAAAACACTGGACAGGTATTAAAACTATGTTACATTTTTACGTGACTTTCTTGTACTGCTGGGTTATTTAAATTGGTCGGACTGAATTGATTTAACGTTACCTTAATAAACCATTGCAACTGTTAAAAATCATTTTAAGTGCGTTTAGAAATATGTCAGTGGGTAGGAAATTACTTGACAGCGACAGGTAGTTTAAATAATGGTGTTATTCTTACTGGTCTTATGTACTTATGATAGAAGTTTGGAGTTCGGCGTCTTCCAGCGATAATGCATGCAAAGAATCTTCTTTAACCGGTCAGCTCTTTAGACTCAAAAAGCCACCAAAAGTTTAGTAGGATTTAATTTATTCTTGCAGTTTCTCATGGATTCTAACCTTACTACATTTGCCGTGGCATATTCAAGTATAAAATATATGTAAGTGTTAAAGAAGATAAAAATATAATTTTTATGGATTTTATTGAATGTTTTCGTGAACTCTCTTCTATTATCTGTTCTTGCTCTCTGAAACCATTTACTTTATCTATGGATATTAAGGAAGCAATTTTCAATTTACTGGAATTTCTACTTTACATTTATGCTCAATACAGTCTTTGTCATCTGCCAAGTACTTTCATGACCCGGAGCTAATTAGTTTCAAAGAATTCTCAAATACCTATGGTATAGAATAAGTCAAGAAATTCCCAAACAATGTTAACATTGCATTTGTTGTTGGATTATTCCAAGGCACTTAAGAAAAAATACGGTAGTTTCTCACGCTGACGATTACGTAACGTCTCTAAACGTTTAATTCAAGTAAACTATTTCGGCACAAAAATTCCTTTATTTTGTTGAAAAACCGACTTAATGGTTTTACTATGTTTTCGTTATGCAATTTTACTGACTCTTTTGACAAATTTATTGGTACCGTGAAATTTATGTCATTGAATACTCTGGTTTTATTAGGTCACGGGTTTCAGTTCATTTCAATCTACGAAAAATAAATGTCTTTATTTTCATTTAATTTAGTAAACAATTCTGTATCGACAACTGATACAAATAGCATAAGAAATAATTAGTAAATAGACATCGTAATTATAAAGCAAAGATGTTTTAGCGTCTAATAACTAAAACTGTAAAAGTGATGATAAATTGTAATGTAAAATCAAGGGGCAGTATCAAACTTGTAATCCATATGAAACAGTCATTAACAAACTAAAGATTTGTCTTTGCAGAAAGTCTACGGTCGTATGTTTATTCGAATTTATTCACAGAATTGTATAAAATTAATTTACCATTAACTTTTTTTAATAACAGGATGCAGCGTGTGACAATGAATTTAGACAGTATGCTTATGCATAGCTACATAAATTGATAAATTTAAATGCATCTTAATTTTACAATGAGATGAAATTATGGTTCAACTTTTCGATGATTTTTTTAGACATTTTTATTCGTACATTATTTGTGGATTGGACCAGTTGAGACGCTCATAACTTTTGGCTTAATGAGCCAAATAACTCTTGTCCCAAGTTTAATTACGGTGGGAGTTATTCTCATGTTTATTCCTGTTCAGTTTGCTTTTAATCGGGCATATGGAAAGTCAAGGTATGAATTCACTTGTTTTTATCAATAGGTTTTAAAAGTAGCAATCTATACCTTGATTACAGCGCATATAGTCTCTACATGATTTCAACATTATTCTTTGTATGTAGAAGTAGACTAACACAGAAGCGTAGCTGAAAACAGGTTAAAATGTACCTAGTTTACTCTATAGTTCACAGACAAGAATAAAAAAATACTCAAAACGTTAGTTTCATGGTAGGCAATACAAATATAAAATTGAGATCGACATTATTTTTTCCTCTCGAAAATATCTATTAAATAAATGATGACACTTTCCTCATCTAAATTTGCAGGGGTTGAACTTCTACCGGGAGGTTCACTTGTTGACTTAGAATATGCAGATGACATAGTTTTATTTGATGAAGACGCTGACAAAATGCAGAGTCTTCTGACCACTCTAAGCAACAATGCAAGCATGTTCGGGATGCGATTCTCTCCCTCGAAATGCAAAATGTTGCTTCAGGATTGGGTTACATCGACACCCGAACTAGTGATAGGGAGTGAAGTAATTGAGTGTGTCGACCGCTTCACTTATCTTGGAAGTCTCATCAGCCCTTGTGGTTTGGTGTGTGACGAAATCTCAGCACGGATACAGAAGGCTCGACTAGCTTTTGCCAACATGCGTCATTTATGGCGTAGGCGAGATATCCGTCTATCAACCAAAGGACGTGTTTACTGCGCAGCAGTTCGTTCCGTCCTACTTTATGGCAGTGAAACATGGCCGGTAAGAGTAGAGGATATCCGTAGGTTACTAGTATTTGATCATAGGTGTCTTCGAAACATTGCTCGTATATCATGGGACCATCGAGTAAGTAACACAGTTGTTAGGAAACGGGTACTAGGTAAGGATGGCAAATCAATTGATGACGTAGTGAAACTTCATCAGTTGAGATGGCTGGGACACGTGTTACGTATGCCCAACGACCGACTGCCTCGACGTGCTATGTTCAGTGGTATAGGAGTAGGTTGGAAGAAAGCTAGGGGCGGCCAAACCAAAACATGGCACAAGTCCATGAAGTCACTGACAAGTGAACTGAGTGATGTTGGTAGGTGTAGACTACCTGGTTGGGGACCGCGAGATGATAGCAACCGAAGGTTAGAGACCCTGAATGACATGGCTCCAAATCGTTTGCAATGGCGCATGTGCATCCACTCTCTGTGTTCTCCCAAATTCTAATCTTCTAAATTCTTCATGTCCCTTTTTTCCTCTCTCCAAATTTATTTCACTGGATTATACTCTTTAAATAACATCTCCAAACCCTAATCTTCCCGATTACTGCTTATACTCGTATTACCTCTACCACTACGGGATTTGAATCGACAAGTGCATCTCTGTGCTAATGTGGTGTGGCAACTCGAACTGATGTACGTACGTACGAAGTTCTACGTTGTTACTGACTGATTGACTGACTTCTCAGTATTTTCACGCAGTTCTAGTTGTTGATTTTTTTTTGCGTCTTATGATTATTTTACACCTCTTGAGATTGACAAGTAACAGCAAAATAATTAAAATTGTGCTGCCCTTTTCCTTCGTATTTCACTCGGGTCAAAATTCATATATATATATATATATATATATATTGCTTTAGACTATTCTAATTAATTAGAAGTTTGAGAAGGAAAAAAACCGTTTGTCCACGGTGTGATAAAATCGGACAAGATTCGGCAAATTAATCGTTAGTGGTGATGTAGTTACATGGACTCCTTTTAGAAATCGGTAGCGAAAGACGCATTGGAGCATTTAGTAACCGACGACATTTGGTTCGAATAGAGGTAAATTCGAACCATGTAGTTCTAAACAGATGGCTACACTCACCTGAAGTTGTAAAGGCTTTGGAATCGATCCCATCTAGTATCGTAGATGAGGATAGAGAAAGGGGCTCAAGTTAGGAAAGGATATCCATCGGTCGCTTACTAGTTTTCTGTACCTTTCTGATTAATATCAGTGTGAAGAAAATAATCCCTAGATTAAAGAGATTTCACACACATATTTTGAGAAAAACATTATTTCCGGTGGTTTGGTTGAGCAAAATATTAGTGCAAAGGCTTATGCTAGCAAAATTTCGATGTTTTGCTGTTTGCCTTAGAATATTTAGCAGCTGTTTATGTGTTTCAGTGGCTTTAGTTTTTGGTATATGATGGTTAGAGTAGTCGTATATTAGGTAACTTGTGTATATCATTTCTTTTGTTCGTGAAGTTAGTATTGATTGTAGTAGAAGGCAAGGCCAGGAGCACTGATTAACATGCCCTGTGAAATGTTTTATTTAAAACTGATCAAAGGAGCTGACAGTAAACTGAGAAATAACGAAAGTTATAGTGGCGACTTCACTTATCATAAAACATAACAAGATTCAAGTCGTTTCCTAAATGATTCCATCATGGCTCTGAGTCAACGGACGATTAATTTTCATTATTTCCATAGATATGTTTGTAAATGCTTTCCAGGTGAAGCGTTTATACAATTTGATTTCAATTTCTGATATTACTAAGAGATATAAACATTAATTTTAATTTTAGATTCAAAGCTGCTGACGTAACTGATCAACGTATTCGCATTATTTCAGACATTATAGCAGGTATACGTGTTATAAAATTCCATGTATGGGAAAATGTATTCACGAAATTAGTTCATAGTTTGAGGAGGTTGGTTCATACTTTAACTAAAAATTAATGTATTATTATGGAAATATTTTACACCACGAATGTACTGAAAATATTGTGTGAAATTTAAGAGAAAGCTTACAATATATTTCATTTCATAGCATTTGATTACCACTTTTTTCTTATGAAATTTAGTTGATTTGTATTTACAACATACTACAGTGTACAGGAAGTAGGCTTGACAATGTCAAGGCAAATATCAATTGGAATATGAAACATGATACATATTGAAACTCGGTCAATTTAATAAAACCCTTATTTTCGTCGGTAAAAACTCTATTTTACAAACTTTTGATCACTACTGACAAAGGTTAATGTTTATCATAAATAATTTAGTTCTGAAGTACTTTTGTAAATTATGTTGTATTTATTGATATTGTTGTGAACCAGTGTTTCTCTTATCTTCAGACGTCATGATATAAGTTTCAACAATCCACTTTAATTTGCTAATAATGTTGATGTTATGTTTGTAATCGTCACACATAAGCTCAAAGTAAAATTTATTTGTCATTTAGACTTAGATTATGTTATAGTTTCCAGTTAATTCGGTGAATAGGAACATTTTTATTTAGATAAAGAAATAATTTAAGATCATACTTTAATATATCCACCTTTATTTTGACATAAATGACTGCTTTACAAAGTTAGGAATCTATTTCCTAAAGATTTTATTCAAATGTTCTCTTTTAGTAAAGAAATTAAACTTTTTATGAATGGTCGGTGTTTTCAAGCATTCCGGCTGAGTCAGCTAATTTATCAAATAAAGTTTACAGTGATGGTTCTAGTAGTGGGTATTTTACTCTTGCATAAAGGAGCAGATGATCCGGAAGCTCTCAAAAGTTATCAGCTGTTTACTTTGATGAATTTAATCACATCACTTTTTATTTCAGTGATATTATCCATGCCACAAGCAATCGAACAAATAAATATAGCGCATATTGTTGACAAGCGTATATCTGTAAGTTTTATTTATGCCAGATAATTGGTCAAAAAGTTCAAATATCACTTTATTTATATATTTCTAAGTAGAATATGCAAACGATTGTAGTCACTTTAGGTCATATGACATAATTTATCTGAAATGTTACCATGATGTCTGTACTTTTAATGCTTTTGTTGTTTGAAAGCTACATCTCGTTTCAGTGCTTAAAATAATCCCATTATATGATTAGAAACCAAAATGTGTACACTATCGAGTAAACTTTGATAACGCAGTGTGTTTGCAAATCGTGTTCTAATGACCTTGAGGTATAAAGTTGAAAACTTGAAACGAAATGTAATGTAAATAGTGTTATCTAAACAGTTTGCTTTTATTATAATTTAGTGATTCCATCTCATTATAACATTTCATGGTGAGATGAAGCTGAATGGATTAAAAAGTTTGAGCTCTGTTTTCGTTAAGGATGCTCAATACATTGAACGAATTAACTCGACAGTATGTTTAAGCCTTTAACATATTTCACTATAGATGTTCTATCCAGCTTTTACCCTTGGATGAGTGAGATTATTACCAAATATTTTACTTACGTAAAGCTATCATTTAGAATTGTATGATCATTAAAATTACGAAATGGCTTTCATTTTAGTATTGGATTCTTGATTTTTAAAGAAGCTTTAAACGTCACAATGAGAAACGCTTTGTATTATAACCGAAAAGCCATATGTTTACATTTAGGCCTTTTGACCGTTTCGGGCTATAGGTTGTCGACCAGAGGTCTCCAACCATTTTTGTCCTTGGTTCCCCTTTTTTGTTTATTGAAAAGTGCTATTCGTGCTCTTAATGTCTGCCTCCGATTATCGGCAAATTATGTTTTTTGGTTCATCTCTGTTCTTTTTGCTTAGAGGATTCAAGTTAGATCTTGTCTTTTGATGAAGTTAAGTATTGTCCTCATTGATGGTGGAAGTGCTTCTTTATGTCTCAAGTCCGTACGATAGAATTATTTCGAAGTTATTATTACAAGCTTTAACTTTGGTCTTGGTGGATAGTTCTTTGCGTTTCAGATATTCTTCAACCGTGGGAAAGGTGTTCTTGGTTTTCAGATTCTCGCCTTTACATATGAAGTGAATTCCTCACGTTTAATGAATGATACTGCATGGTGCATAAATTCTTCTCTCTTTTTTAGATCTTGACCATTAAGCGTGATCACTCTGTTGTACTTCAGGACCTTAATTTTTTGCTTGTGAACGTTGGGTAGTACTTCTGAGGAAACCGCTGCTACACTGTCTGTTTTAGCCTGGACACTTTGCTGCGTATAGGACAGAAATGCTAAGTCATCTGTTAAGTCTAAATTATGTTGTTTTATCCAAGGTATCCACTGCATTCCTTGCTTTTCCCAAAATATGAACACCTTCATAATAAAATCAACAGATCGTAACTGAATAAAAGGTTAGAGTGGGCGGCCTTGTTTGACACCAGCATTCATTTGGAATGCATCTGTAAGCTGCTTCCCATGGACAGCCTTGTAATTTCAATTCCTCGTGGCAGTATCGTGTGATGAATATAATTATCTCAGGCATTCCATCATATGGGAGAAGAATTCAGAAGATTTTCGAATTCACTCTATCGCATGCTTTTCTATAATCAAAGATCTATAGCGATGAATTTCATTCAGTCGATAGCTTAGTAATGTTTTTCTATGTCACAATTTAGACAGTACGTGGCTGATAGTAATGTAACTCAAATTGTTGATCTCAAAGTCGGGTATCTACTGAATCTCCCATTCATTTCCACAACACTCGGTTGAAAATGTTACTTGACTTTGGCACTGGTGCGACCTCTCTGTAGTTCTCATACATACTGAGGTTTCCCTTATTCAATATCTTAATGAGGTAAACCACTTTCCATTATACTTGCACTTGTTCTTCCTCCTAGAGTTTTCTTAAGAGAAAGTGGAGCATCCTCGAACTTGTTTTTTTATATAACTTCAGTGCTTCAGTTAATACGATGTCTAGTCCTGCCGCTTTCCTAACTTTTGTCTGTTTGATGACCTTGTTGATAAGATGGTGGTTGGAAGTAGTCAACAGGAAACCCTGGACCTGGGTTTCGTGCTACTTGGCACTCGTCAGTAAGATGTACCTGTAATCTTGATCATTGGTTGGTGATCAATGTCATGTATGTCAGGTCCATGGTTGGTAGACATTCATAGAGAAGTCATTGTACACTACTTTAATGTCCAATGAGTTCACTGGTGTTGACCTATCCAAAAGACCTTTAAAGTGCTATACCAGCTTGTTCCATTGCTCCTGAACTTCAGTGGCTAGTTTTGATCTTTTCGTTCCTAACTGGTCGCCGTCGTTTACTATATTTCTCTGCAAGCTTATTCGGTGTATCATACAGTTGTCTCATACTTCTCTTGTTACGCTTTCTGCTATCGCTTCTGGGTCTTCTACATATTTCCGCTTGTCAGCTCTAATTCTTTTCTTTACTCGTTTGTTTGCTTATTTATATTTGGCCTATGCTTTGAATTCCTCTTATATTTTACGGATGTTCTTGACTGCTATTTTTTCGTTTTTCCCTTCTTAAATCTTCCACAGACTCTCTACATAGGTCCATTGTTTATATTGGTGCTTTGAGACGTTCAGCTTGATCTGGTATATTTAAATCATCGCTTCTTTAATCCATTTCCAGTTACTTTCCATTGTTATTACTTCTAACAGATCGTATAAGACTTGAAACTTGTTACCGGTATCTATTTCAAACTGGCAGGGATTATTAGTATCGCAGAGGAAAGGTGTACAAAACACTTGTGGTGGTACTTGCCTGACAGTCAAAAGCTCCTTAAAATTCAGTTTCAGCTTGACCAACACCAGATGATGACCTGAAGCTATATCTTTGTTCTTACACTGTCTTTTGGCCTTCTGGATCTTTCGTTCATGTGGATGTGGTCAATCTAGTTTTTGGTGTGTCCTACGAACCCAAATAATTTCGTGTGTACGTTTGTAATTGTACCTACGACTATGTAGTTGTAAGGATCAGTTGTTCGTCATTGTCGTTGTCTTGTTATCATCCTACTAGTCTCATGTTGCGCTTATGCCAAGTGTTGTCCATCACTACTTTGGTTCTTATGTCTCTCATCAGGATGGTCAAGTTCTCTATTATGGACCGCAGTATTTCACAAGCCAGTTTTTATCATCCTCACTGTCATCATTAGATGGTGAGTAGTACAAATGGCATTCATTGTAGCTCTTTCCTTTTTTGTTTTGAAGGATACTTTGATGATGTTTGAGCTGTTGGCTTCCCATCTCATAAGCACTTTCCGTGCTTATTTAAATTATATCAGTGATACCCCTTGTGTGTGAGAGCCAATTTCTTCTTTATGACCAAAAGACAATAACAGATTTCCTGAAGTTAGTTCTCTGTCCAGATTGTATTCAGTGATTCCTGCTTATTCCGAGAAGAGCCAAATAGTATCCTCGGATCTCCAAGGCTATTGAAATGACATTAGTCTTCCACGTTCTGACATTCAGTTTACCTAAGTTTCCTATTGCCCTAGTTGTCGTAAGGGGCATTAATTATGTAGCTTATGGAGTCTCCTAGCTTTCATTATGAGACATCATAGGAAGCGAATTACATATAGTTGCAAAATGTTAGAAATTCGATTTTTGTTTCATTTGGATTTTGTAAATATGTTATTTTATTTTCAACGTTGGGAAATTCATATTACTTTTGAATGTTTACTATATTTTCAAATATAACAGCATAGAATTATATGATGGTACAGTGAAACGAGTAGTTGGTTGATGAGTGAAAGGTAAATAGTCGCAAGTATATATTACATTTTATAATGTTACTCAACTAAATGATCTTAATAGAATACACAATTTTTTCAACACTTAACTATTGTTATTTCTGATTACTTTTATTTTTGAAGCGATTCCTTTTGTTGCCTGAAGTAGGAAATGATCATTACCCTGAAGTAAATAATTCAAATGAACAAGTTGTAGAGCTGACAAATGTCTGTTCACAATGGCAAAATGTAAGTGTGATTCTGGGAACTCAAAATTATATAAACCCACTATCAACCTTTTCTTATATAAAAGGATAAGTTTTCTGTTATTATTTTGTAGTCCATCTGCAAAACATATCAACAAAAATTCTAATTTCTCACGGTGATTTTGTGCATTTACTAATCATTCTTCAAGAAGATATTCTGTTCAAAAGGAATATTTAAAGACATGCTTTTGATCGGATGATGAAGACATTAATTATCACACTTGTTTTTTAGTGCACTTGTGTGAGCTAGTTCTTGCCTTCTAATTACACATCTACCATAGTGTTGTGTTAGTTTTATTGCATAGTTGCTTAGACAGGATTATTTCAGAAACCTTGAATTGATTTCTAGTGAGGTTAATTGTTTGTATCGTCAAGAAATAAAATCAAGGTATCTTATGAGATCTCCAAGTGGATTACTTTTGTTACCTTTCGTATACACCTTTTAATCGTTTACTTGCAAAAGAGCAAAAGTTGAATAGAGGACTTGAAAGTTTTACGTGAATTCAGAAAATGTAGATGTTAAGATTATGAAGGTCTATATCAGCCGTAAAAGTTTGCGGTTTTATCAGTATTTCTCTAGTCAGTTGTATAATTTGTTGCTTGGAATCGGAAATGGAAATTGATATTTTGTAAACTGGTAAAAATGTAGTTAACGTAATAATGAACTACCCTCTATTCAAAAGATTATTAAGGAAATGCTAATTAAGGTTGTTAAAGAATGATAAAAGACCATTTATATGTAACGGATTAGCTTTTTCTTCATTTTAAACATCTATTATTGACAGTTTCAAATAAGTTGAACATTGGGTAGAAAGTTAATAATGATACAATAATCATACTTTTGTGATACACCAATCAATAGAAATTTGTATTTCTGAAGTTTCATGGCTTACTGTAAGTCACTTATTCTGAGTAAATAAATTTAATTATCTATTAGTGATGTTTTCGAAATACAAATGAAAAGGTATCTAAAACACCATGTGGTTCAAAAAACACAAATTCAGTAACCAGTTTGATATTGTATCAAATAATGACTACATTGGCCCTTATGTCTGACCAAATGCCATTCATATAACTCACACTTTGGGTGTTTGTATCATCGGTTATTGTACTCAACTTCTGACCAGTAAATTAAAGGTTCATACCATACTTTGTCAACATTGGTTTTGGAAGTTATTTAGTATCACTAAACCCATCACTGGATCGAATATTTCACTACTAAAACACAGGAATCTGCACTTGATTGGGGATTTCCAATGCTCTCCGTGATTCAGGCAGAATGAACAGGCCAAAATAATCAATTAATGTGGATCAAATATTCATGGGAATTAGGAAAGATAGGAAGTAAAAAACACTGAAGGCTTTCCTCCGAGCTATATACATGCTCTCTGATTCATGAACATTGATTCGATACAAGTAGTTTGTTACGTATCTTGAATCTACTTCGTAGTCAAGGGAAATTCGTATTGAATCCAAATAGTTTGATTTGTTGATTGCCCAAACAATATGTAGAGACAACCTTTGTAGAATCCGACATAACTATGCATCAGTTTAGTATGCTATATTCCATAAAACAGTGGTCGAAACCTACTACAACAAACGTAGGTAAAACAATCACATTTTCTGATATACATCGATTGGGATTATAGAAAAATATTTCTAGGGCAAGCCAACTATATACAATGAGACATTTCTTGTGATTATAGTTCATCGATACTAGAGTGGTCTTCATGAAATTTACTACGACAGTTGGGACCCATAAGGACTCATATAAGTAAATTATTTTCGTTTGAACCGCTCAAAATTCCGAGGTCAACTGATTCGGTTAGTAGGACGCTGGGTAAAAACAATGAATTTCAGCCGACCTAATAGATAATTGGGTTTTTTTCGAAATGTTATACTGTTAGGTCAATAGTTTGTTAATATAGGATGTAAATAATACAACTTTATCAAGACTTTAGTTTATGGTCACTCAATAGAGCAGCTGGGCCGAATTGCCCTTGGGTATAGTCTTCATTTGATTCTACTTTACGTTGTGTTGTTTTCTTCTTTTTAAAGAATCTAAAGCAAATTACATTGAACAGTATTAATTTTAAGGCTTGTGGTCGTGAGTTGATTGGTATCATTGGTTCTGTAGGTAGTGGAAAGGTGAGTGTTTAAACTTCTTTTGACTTAAATTATTATTATAATGAGTGAGATGACATACAAAGTCATTTTTATGTCATCCATGCATTACATTATTATTGTTTCATTGCTATTCTCTTACGACAAGTATGTTGCTTATTCATGCTGGTACTTATTGTGTTGTTTGAGAGATAAGAATGGTGTTTCCTAGCTCTTCCGTCTGTGATTGATGAGATAAGATGAAATTTATGACTTGGTTGTCAAAAACTGTGGATGAAGGGACTACAACAAACCACCTGATAGATTGGCGTTTAAATATTGAAGTACAATTGAATCTACTTTAGTTATCACATATGATTGCTGTGTACTCTATTGTTTGGATGTCGCTGAAAATTTGTCGAGATGTAGAAGTTTTAGTCATGTTTTTGTCATACAATCAACTACCAGATTCTTATGGAATTCAATTCTTAGACAAAAACTGATCATTTTGTCACTCGAGATCATCGGAGGAAGATACAAACACATGTGGCTGTTAATATTTAACCTGGTTGCCGAATAGTTTGGTGACTATCTTGACTCAGTCTGGGACAGAACTTTGTGGCATTTCATGGATGTTGGTTGTGTGTTAATTTGAGCATCAACGTGTATGCAAGTGCATCAAAGTTGACGACTCATAAACGAGGAGAAAAAACTATGCTTGATGACACTGCTAGCCATAGACCGAAACATTATAACCGTGCAACTTCAGACAACATCAAGGTATTCATTCAGAGAACACAAAACGCCTAAGCTCTTATATATATATATATATATATATATATATATATATATATATATATATATATTTATTTATTTATTTATAATGATATCACTATGTTTTACGACCATAAAGGAATATTTTATTTCCAAACTACCTTGTTACGGTTCGTTACATAAAGCTAACTAAAACAATGTAAAAAAGAGTTAGTTATTCTTAGCATCTCAGATATTCTGGGAAATTTATTTATCATCTTAATTGGAACATGAGTTCATAATTGATAAACTAACCTTGATTATTGGTTGTTTAACTTTACTTACAGTCTTCTCTCTTACAAACTATTTTGGGAGAGCTGCCATTCTCTAGTGGAAACATTTACAGGTCACCTAGTGTAGCTTATCTTCCACAAGCCGCCTGGATATTCCCTGGAACAATACGTCAAAACATCCTTTGTAATCTTCCTTTTGAGTCTGACCGGTATGCATTTGTACTGAAGGCAACTAGTTTAGATGTCGTAAGTTCACACAAAATTGAATTAATAACGTTTTCTATAAGTGTTTAGTTTTCTACAAAATAATTGATGGAAGTCCTCGCATGCAGAATTAGACTGAAATGATACATTGTATATACGATAATAGATAAATGCAAATCAATTATTATAGAGTGAGGTCTGTAAATCTTATTAGTTGCCAATTAAAAGTTATATTTGAATTGAAACTAAATAAGGTTGTAGGAGATGTATGGAATATATTTTGGTCACTTCTCACCCCAACAACAGAAATTCGAATTAAACAAACTTGGGAGTTTCGTTTATTAATTCAGTGGAAGATATCGTATTGGTATTTCATTGCAGAAAATATTGACAGAGCATTTTGATCCGAAAATTCCTATTTCGAAATATTTCATGAGTAATGGTTACAAGTATCCTTTTCCTAATAATGAGGAAACTATTTATGAAGTCAAATAAATCTTTTTTCGCTGAATATGTTTAAAACAGTCCAATTGATAAACTTGGATAATTCAAAGAGAAAACGAAGTTCATCAGAACTGTGTTTGCCAATTTACTTGTGTTTACGGATACAGATATTTAATGAGGAGTAACAGGGATTTTCAAATGAAAGTAACTGAACAAATAGAACAATAAAAGAATAAATGGCATCAATGGCCCCGTTTTGGCGATTTCTTGAGTATCTGAAGATTTACCGTTCAGTTGACACATATATTGTGGCAAAACCTTATCTTAACTATCTTGTCATTTATAACTTATTTTTATTATTATTCGATTCCAGTGGTTTCTTCTCTTCGTTTTATCGTCTTGATAAAAAACATGTAGTAACTTGAGCTGATTCAGTATTTTATTATGTTGTGTTTATTTTCCATGAACTCTCCTCGGTAGTTGATCTACTAAAATATCCAGCCTTCATGTTTACGATGGGAAGTGAATCTCTGAAGACAGAAGAAATACGCTACATGTGCAATCAACTGATACATTCAACAAAAGTTAGTAGTGAAGTAGTTGTACTTGGAACAGATGTTTGGTTTGTGTCATAAAAGTATTTTGTGAAGAGGTGACACGGCTGTCCGAAACGTATAGAATAAGGTGCTATGAAAACGGAAATTTCATACATAATTTTGACATTATGATCTGTATGCTGAATTTCAAATACCTCTGAATATCAAGCAACATTTCCTCTAATAAGTATTGTTTTTCATACAATACTCTTATTATTTATTTCATGCTTATAAGAATACATCTCTGCATATTTTTGTTTAGGACTTGTTGAGATTTCCCGAAGGAGACAAAACATATGTTGGAGAACGAGGTTCTGGTTTAAGTGGTGGTCAGAAGGCGCGCATAGCTTTGGCACGGACAGCATATTCTCGTCAGGAAGTCTTACTTTTAGATGACCCGCTCGCGGCGGTTGATGCTCGTGTAACAAATCACCTGTTTCAGAAATGCATATGTGGTTTTTTGTCAGATAGACTTCGTTTTCTTGTTACTCATCAACACCAGCTTCTACCTTATATGGACAGAATCCTAATTCTGAAAGAGGTATATTTTTGTAACTTATTTCGTTCAAAATGATGTTTATTCAGATTAATATCAAAGGGACTAATTGTTTTAATATCATTTAACTATGTATAAATAAAAATTTGGTTATTTATTCTCTGAAGAAGTGACTTACACTAAGTCGCGAAACGTCAGAAAATCCAATTTTCTACTCATTGGGATATTACAAATATATTATTTTTATTTATAACAATCAACCCAATGCTCAATTTATTCGAAATTATCAAATCAAACCTTGGTAATGACACCTATTTAACTATGTATTTTGGCAATAATAATTGCCTCAAATACATTTTGTGGGGAAAAGATTTAGTTTTATTTGTTGAAAGTAAATCTGTAATCTAGTTTGTTAAAGGATTACAAATTATCTAACCTAGTTTAAAAATGTATCTTAGTTTTTAAAACAACTTTTAGTTTACATGAATTTACGTACTTTCACACATAATGGTATCTGAGGTGAATCTAGCTGTTTCTCATTGATGGAATGGTATTTTGAGGGGATTAAAATAATAATAATAATTACAGAATTCATGCCAGTTTAAAGGCATGATCAACTTGATATTGATAGTAACATTAAATGCAGAGAACAGATATGGGATATAAGACAGTTTTATGTGTTCCAATTAAAAAATTGTCTAGTTAGTACATTTTTCACATGTATTACATCAATGAAAGGCATCAACCGGGAACTTTTAATCTTTTTTAAGTTGACATCCTGTTGATATGTGAACGGTGCATTTAAGGTCATTTCCTGCGCCATAACGAATTGGTTAAAACCATCTATAACTAGGGAAAATGAAACGGAAACAGAGAGCACGGAACAACCAAAACAATATTTACTACGATAGTTCAATCAGGTTTGCCGTAATACAGGTTATTTTGTGATCTGCATGTGTTAGTTATTATTCAAAATAGTTAAGGTTGCCAGGGATGGTGTAAGTGTAAAGTATCAGCAAGTAAGTAAGCCTACTTAGTGGATCCAGCAGTAAAAATAATTAGACATTTAACATTCTCATAATCTCACTTGTGGAATGTCAAATACTTACAGGTGTAAGGACATTTAAGTCCTTTTCAGTGGAGAAGCAAGAATCAATGAAGCGAACAAATGATGGAATTGATTTTATTACACGAACAGATTGTGGTGAATTATTCCAGAATCTGGAAAATTTACTGGTAAAGCAATTCATATGAATGCTAAAACTAGGAGTTTCTGCATATTTAATTGTCTCATTGGATGTAAAGATAGTTCGCTAAGTATTTTGAAGATGAAGATTGGATTTAGTTTAAGTCTCCGTTTCCATAAAGGATTGCGTCCAAGTTTATTACGTCTGGACTCATAATTTACGGTACAATCAGTCCCGAGAATGCGAAGTGTGAATCGTCTCGGAATGAATTTCAGCTTTAATTTATCTCTTAAGTGAACACTACTAAAAATAGTCCTGAAATAGTCTAGGAGTGGTGGGACACATACTTTTTACATTAAAATACGTAACTCGTTGTTATAGAGATTAAGAATCATGCAAACCAGAAGACGCTGAAAACTGAAGGTCTGTTTTGAGATCTGTTCTGAGAAGGATAAGCTGTAGGAATACGTGCGTCCTAAATCAACTACCGTATGTAGCTTGAGTAGCGCCTTACCATTTATGGTAAGATCTAAGTTGAATGATGCATCACCGAAATACGTCCATCCATATGTAGCTGTGTTCAGCTCCAAGTGCCATTTTGAGCACTACTGTGCTACCTTGTTGAGCTCTATACTGATGTCATTTCGCTCATTGTTCAGCTCATTAGGAGAAAGCGAATACACTACTTCAAGACCACCAATACAAAAGCAACTGCAAATATCACTGATATATTCGAAAAAGAGCGAAGAGCCTAAGACACTACTTTGTATTACACGAATTTTGTCGGGGATAACATCCGACAAGAAGGAGTTTATTTTGATTATTTGTAAGCCAATGTTTTGATGGTGATTATATGAAACCGGTATGATACAAAAGTTATCAATAAGTATGTAAACTAATTGTGCAATAAGATATTCGTCTTCTCAAGATTATCGATAATCGAGAGCAGTATAATCACTATAACATTTTCGACTAGATATTATTCTAGTTATAATACGATGCATATTCAATAAAATCGAGATATGCGTCGGGCGGAGAAAGTACTTCGAGTTTGTATTTCTACAATCATTAGGTGAACAGTATATTTTAGATTCAGTAGGAATTATTGTAACTTACAAATATAACAATGGATTATGTGTCTTTTTGTCTATTTTTACTTCTGAGTGCTTTTGATTCTCGTTAAAAGTAAAAGTGAAACTGGTCTTTTCCAGGGAGAAATTACATTTTTTGGAACGTATTCAGAGCTGCAAACAATGAAGTTACAAGCAGATGGTTTTTTTTGTAATTCTTTTGATCATTCAAACGATTATGGGATATTCCGACTCTCAGACGGTGACAACAATGAAAAGGAAACCAACATTATATTTAATGGACTTCGTAGACAGTTATCAGAGACTTTTGCGAGTTTTAGATCTGACAAACGGAGCAGTTATTATTCGACTTTACAGTCCCCAAGACAGTTGGAAGACTTGGTAACAGATGGAATGATATTTTCATCGTTTTCTTTAGTTCGTGAACATTATATAGATGATAATTCATTTGTAAATGAAAAATCCGTCCAAGGGTCTTTGATATTGCCTAATGAGAAGAATGTAAGAGAACATTATTTTTTGTATAATTATTTGGATGCTAAATTTTCTATCTACAGCAAATCCACTGGTTATTTTTCGACTTATTGTCATGACTTCGTAACTTGATTCCCAGGTTTCAATGTAATGATATTTATTTCTATCATTTAACTATGAGACATAAACACTAAGATCAGATAACATGAAACGTATTACATGTAGAAACTAGTTGTGTTATTTTCTCATTGAATAAGTAATGTTAGCTTTAGGCCTACTTTTGAAGTAAGACGTTATTTTCTTACTAGGAATAAATTTCAATATGTTACAAACATAATTCTTAATTTAAGAGAATACCAGAAAGCTTTAGTATTGATGAAAGGCCTTATTTTTCAAGATATTTTTCCAACTGTCTTAATTGTGTGCATTGGATATTCTTTTGCGTTGAGCCACTCATACTGTCTTAAACTAGTTTTTCAAAACATTTTGGTCATTTCATCGGTTATATCAACCGTCAATAGCACAGGATATAGGTTCGATAAAATTTATTCCGCTGTGATTTATCCGTGACAATTTGTCTTTTGTGATAGATTCAGTTTAAAGGGATATATGATGAACGTAATTCACCTGTGAAGTTTATGAGCATAAGTTGCAAAGTACAGAAGTCTATTGAGCATCGGCCTATTTATTTAATGAGACTATCTTTATCAATGATATAATCTAAGGGATCTAGATATTCTAACTACTATGTTGCACAGATTATCAACAAACATTTGTATGACTGCATTGACTTAATCTTATGTTTGAATTCCAAGCTGAATATGATATAATGTCTCTGTGCTAACTTTTATACAAATATTTGTGATGTTGACTTAACTAATTGAGAAGTGATTCGAATGATGTAATATTGAACTAGATACTGATTATAAATACTCGAACTATACTGTGAACTAGTTATTGTGTGAATAACAGTTACATAACTTATTGGTTCCAACTGAAATGGTAGAAGTGCCCAAACTGGAGTTTACATGTGTAAGTAACTTGTTTAATTGACTTCGTATTAAGCCACCCCACCAAATGTGTTTTGCTGGGAAACATGAGTACTTTAGACAATAATTAGCATAAAGCTGTTTGAGTATCCATATTGCGCTTAGAATGGAATTCATTTATTGCAAACAATTTATATCCTTATTAATAGAGAGTAGTATATTCATTATCTCATTTTACTTCTGACTAAAGACTATAAATTTAACTCAATTATTTACCACTTAAGTATGAGCTATTTTTACTTTTTCATCCTGTGTACTTTCTAAATGAATGTAAGACCTGTGCTAGTTAGACTCATGGCTGTCTCACCATATTTCATTCACACTAACATATTCACTACTCACATTAAAGTAATGAGTAAGGCTAAACTACTAATCTTTCGTTAAAATTGTCGTTGGATTTAGAAATACTGGATAGTTTTATTATGGGATCCAAATGTTTAGTTTCGTTGGTTGTTTGGTCGCCTTTAATTTAGTTATGCGTAAGTTACCCATATTAGTCATGACATATCTGAATCTGTTGTAAATAAATCTAAGTTCTATTTCTCTCTTTGAGATTTAACGATTCTGTTTTTCGATACTCACTCAGTGGGCACTAGAGGTTTGACCTCATTAGCAGCTGGATGCTTGATCATTTCAATCAAACGACCATCTCATTAATGTGCGTTCATAGAATTTCAGAACTAATAAATTCATCATGAATAAATATTTTTAAAAATACATATTAGTTTCTAAAGTGGTTAATATCTTGAATGAATTCTAACACGTTTTTGGATTATGTTTTTGTAGAGTAGTATCAGAACAATAACTACCACAGGGTCTTACGAATCTATACAAACAATCAAGTCAAGCGTGTTTGATGTTTATGTTGTTGGTGAAGCAGAACGAAATAGCAAAACAATTGGCAATGGGAATATTCCAGAACATCATCTAAGTAAAGAACCTATTCCAGGTGAAAATCTTAGACATGGAAAGGTTGGATGGAAATATTACTTAGTTTTTGGTCGAATAATTGGAAGTTTTCGCTACTTGATAATTACTCTTTTGATGTTTGTTTTTACAACTGTTGTTTATGCAACATTCGATTTATGGATAGCAAGATGGTAAATTTAATATGGTCTACATAGTTTTTCGTTCGTCTTTTTTGTATATTTCATTCTTGAAAATGTATTTCAATAGATTTAGGAGCTTTCTTTCACTTATTGATCGTGCCTTCATGTATACAAAAATCTGTAAAGTGGAAATTGTCGTGTTTGCTTTTTGATTTTTTTGCCTTATGTACATGATCTATCACAGACCAAGAGATTGATCGCTACTGCATGTCCATCTTCAAATTGTTATGAGAACTACTTCAGTTTGAATATAGTTTTCGCTATAGAACATTGTCATTTTTTATCCTGAATGTCATAGGTTCAATTTATGGTTGAGTCATCGGTATAAAACCGGCACAAAGAGGCTGCTTATTACTCTGTGGTTTTGAATGGTCCTTTAACTGATGCCGATACATAACCAAAACCACCTACGACATCTGAATTTACTGGAAGTTAAGTGTTCTCTGTGAGACTACTGGTTCTGTATTTGATTCCGATGGTAACCTGGGTGCGCACTATTGACAAGTCTCATATCAGGGCTTCCTGCTTTCCAGCAGTTCACTAACTTGGATCAGCACGTGATATAAAACAACGAAAATTCAACAATGTCTACAAGCCGCCTATTCAATGTTCACTAGTTCATGACTTTGAAGTCATAAGTAGGTTTTCCAATCTTGATATAACTGATTTTTGAATTGTTTTCATTTTTCTTATGATTTTACTTTTTACTTCTCTTATAAATAGGATTCGTATTGTGGATAAGCGTAACGAAACGAACAGCCCACTTGCTAATGACTCATCACATGTTATAGGAACGTGGAACTGGGATGATAATTATGTAAATATGTACATAATTATAATCCTTACCATACTGCTAGTGTTTTTTAGTACAGCACGTACGCTGCTATTTTTCAAAGTAAGCAACGTTATTCAATCACTTTATTGCAAACTTAATAGTCAATTGATTATGCGGAATTACTGTGTAAACTACCAAGCCAGTGATCGCTGGACCTAAACACTGTTTTATAAAAATTTTGATAGGAGTTATAAAGCTTACTCATCGTCACTTCACCTTTCAATTTATCAAAGCTGGTTATGCGTAAAAGATTAAGACATTAATATTATAGGAGAAAATGAATGTTGGCTATCAGTGGAATCCAGGACCCATGTTTCGCTCCATCCAGGAATCGTCAGCTGCGTGTGTCTGCATCCCAGTGTTCTTTTCAGGACTCGAACTCCGTATCGTTCTCTTTAAACGCCATTGCGTTACCCACTTAGCTAACGAGTCCTGATAGCCGCTAGCTCGTGCAATGGGCTGAAGTTTTCGATTTGTTTTGTACTGCACAGGATGCACATATGCCAATAAGAGACTGATCAATTGCAAACCTAAACATCAATGGGAAGATCCGAACAAACAATACAAAACGAATTAATATTATAAGTTATAAATTAATTTACTAGGGGAATAAAAATTATCATGTGTATTTATTGATTGACTTTGAACTAAGGAGTGAACGACTGTGTCAATAAGACTTTTAGCCCTTCATTTTATTCCTGAGGGTGGAATATGTGAAAACATTAACTAAGACGACACTCAATGTACACGAAAAGTGACTATTGTCTTAATAACTTCATAGAAATATTGTCTGATACAGTGACATTTACTACAATCAGTTAGAGAACGAATGAGATGTTAAGGTTCTTAATATTCCTACAGATACTTCATTAAAGTCACACTGGGACAAACAAGTCCCTAATCAGCTTACTACTAATATACTATTTGACTCAAGACATGTAAATATTTTGTTGCTCTCTGTAGCGCTAATATTCATGTGAGATAATATTACAGTTGATTGTCATCAATCTGTGTGGTCATGGTGCCTAGTTCACAAGCATACATTACTATTATCGTTAGTTTTCTAACCAGGTGAATTTCTCATGCTTTTGTTGATTATAAGAATTTTTATTTTTGTTCTGATAGCAAATGACTTGTGTTGCGGAACGTTTGCACGAATTAATGTTCAAAGCCTGTCTTTCAACTAGAATACTGTTTTTCGAATCAAATTTATCAGGTTAGAAAGTTACCTTTTATTCAATGTAAATAGCTTTGATTTTAAAAAATCACATTACAGTATAGACCTATGTTGTTTGTGATTATGATTTTGTCAATAGAACGTCATTTTATTCACCAAATATCAGTTTATTAAAACGATGTATAATTAAACTATTAACAGGTTGTTAGACTAAAAATTTTCTGGAAACTATAGTACGGTTCACATCTTTTGACAAGACACTATGATCATAATATTTACTTATTTGATGAACGGTAATTTACGATTTCTTTTAAAAATGCTGAATTGTTAAAAAAGACCATAAATTAGATAGTTCCAAGCGGTACTATTCTAGTAGTGATGAGACCGATCACAATGATACTTTAGAAAGTTTAGAAATAATATGATTGAAACGAGGCATGCTTATTCTGATATTGACTCTAATTTGTTTAAAAAACTGAATGTAAATCTATTCACTTTTGTTTTGTAATTAAAAGTGGCTCAAGTTTACTAAATCTTGCTAAGAAGAAAAAACAGTACTTCCAATTTAGAATGCTATTTTTAATCCATTGTTTATCTTTCCATTAAAAAACTCAGGTAAAATATTAAACAGATTTTCCAAAGACATTGGAATTATAGATGATCTGCTGCCAACAAACACATTCGAGTTTTTACAAGTAAGATGGAACCAGTGATTTAAAATTGTATTTAATTGTCATTTCCTGTGGTTTTATGCACTTTTTCAAAGTCATTCAACGTTCTGTAACTGATTTATTGGAGCCTATTATTAATATGGGTATATGTCATTCATAATAGAAATATCTTACAACTAAACTTGTATTTGATGTCATCATCCATGCTTTTGAAGACAATTCGTAAACTTGTTGAATGTCCAAGCTAAGCAAATAAATTACAGATATGCGCCGAAAATATTTAAACTATGAAGTTGTTATGAAAGCAACCTGCCTTTGTCATAATGGCAAACAGATGAATACTTATATTAGGAAATAAACTTGTTTTGAACCATTCTACGAAACTACTAATTCAAATGCGTTTAGCCTCACTGAATTTTCTTACACAGGACAGTCTTATTCTTTGCTATTTGTTTAAAAGATTCATGTTGGATTACCGGATACGAAGAGGATATCGCATTGGTTGTCCGAGTGGGCTAAGTGAGGTTATTCGAATGACCACTCCAGGGTTCGGACGCATCATGCATTGATGGGATGAGATTATAGTGATTTATACAGTGAGGAACCTGTAAAGGGAACTGGACTTATAATGCTCTTGGCAACTGGAGAGCATAAACTCAGTACCAAAAGATAGCTCCTTGAAATCGGTTATGCATGAAATTTTTTGGTGTTGTTTTAAAAGTTTTAGCTCCAGAGTCTCAATACCTCACTGATGGTGAAATAAATCTGTGGGACGAAATGAAATGTACTACTCCTATGATAAACCCTTCCAAACTCATTCCATTATGGGAAAACAGGATCACTAGGGGTGCTGGCTATCTGAACGAAACACTTTACTACCACCACGCCCCTGCACAACTCAAAGTACCACCTCGCCCTTGGGCTGTTGATCTTCTGCTTTCAGTCATTCTTCTCTTCTTGCCAGTAATGATTGAACCTGAATAAATGAGCGTTCAAGACAATAGAATTCCACTGGGTCATCACGATATATGACCCAAATAATCACGTAAAGATGTGAGCTGAAAATTAGCGAAATCTTGAATATTCAACTATAGTAATCAGTGTTATAAAGTTATTCATTCGGTAGAATGTACTATAAGTTCTGTATTGACCCTGAGAAGTTGAGGGTATTTACAACTGTTAATCCGTAATTCACGGAAGACTGCCACAACTAGTTTTATAAGTAATGTTTTCTTAATGCTCATATCTCTAGTTTTGTCACTCTTCCCACTATACAGTAGATCTTCATAATCAGTCCACAGTTCGAGAGAATTTTTTAGCTGTCACTTCAGATCTTCTTAAAGTACGTTTAATATGTAGTCGGTTTTCTCATAATCATGTGAATTATCTTATGTGTTGTTTCAGGATGCCTGTGAGTAGAAGAAAAACCCACTGTATTCACAGAAGTTTAATGAAAACTATTTACACTATACATCATTTTATTCAAAGTGACATTTAGTTAACTACAGAATGTATCATATTATCCCTGACATGTTTTAGGAAATTAGTTGCTCATTGAAATTATTATGAAGATGAGTTTTCTTTGTTAACAAAAATGTATTTTTTTTATTTTACTAGTGTTTATCCCTTGTAGTGACTTTTTGTGCTGTTACAGTGATTTCTAGTTACTGGGCAATTTTCCCAGCTATAATTCTTTCTATTTTGTTTTGGGTAATTCGTGGAAGATATATGTGTTTATCCAGAGAGTTGAGGAGACTTGAAGCAATTGGTAAGAATGCAGTGATTATATTCCACAAGCGATTGTAAATTACTTTCTGGTCAAGCATTTATAAGTGACTTACTGTTAATTTATGTCCATTGTATTTGCAAATTGTTAAATCTTTCTCGTATTTTAATATATTCAACAATTTTGCTAGATACATAGAGGCAACACTTTAGATTTCCTACTACCCGAATCGTGTTTCTGGTTAGTTTGTTGCACACAATAAAATACTGAATTGTATTAGAAAGCCTCTATTGCAACCACTGTCCGTTGTAGACAGTTTTAGGTCAGGAATTTCTCCTTGCTGCTATCGGACCACAAACTTATTGTATATAAGGCTGGTTTACATCATACTTTCCGATTACTTTCTTAACATTGGTTATAATTTTTATGGTGTTGTTCAGACAAGCAAAGTTCTGGAAATGCTTTAGTTGTTTATCTCTTATGCATTGTATATTTTTGAAGGAATGATGAGATACTTTAATGAGGGAAAGTCATGTAGGATTTGGCTAGGTAAATACTTTTAATACGAACAACCTTGTAATGATTAAAAACCTAGTTGCTGTCTGGTCGTTTTACAAATTCACATTTGTTACTTTTATATTTAGTATTATATTTGAGTTTAGGCCATTTTGAATCAACAACATTCAAAATTCTATTGGACGAATAGGTCATTCACCATACTTTATCTAAACATTATTGTTTTTTAATTGTAAGAAATGGCTATGAACTATTGAAAGTCTATTGTTAACACAAATAAACGTCTATAAAACTCATCTGTGTAGCATTTGTTGTATTACATATAAGTTTGTTTGTTGTTTGAAGTTTGTTCGATAGTCCAATTTCAAAATAATTAAACGTTTGTCTTACAGATAATGTCCCTCTGAATTTAGTTGAGATTTACATATATGTAAAATACTACAGACCGTGCAAAGATTGAAAATTAGCACACAAATCATAATCGCCATCATAATTTAATGATTCCATTGTTTTACAACTTTAAAGGTTAGTTTATCAGTAACGAAACTTATTCTAAGTTGACAAGTTACAAAAAGTGGAAATTAGCTTGGAAGAAGTTAATGAACTGCTTTTTTCATCATTTCAAAAAGAATCAAGAAAAGTTTGGATTCATTCAACTTAACTGAACTTAATTCAACTTAGTTGATAACAATAAGACTGCAAACATCTTGGTCTTAATATTGCCTATAGTCAAAAGAATAATTTCACGTAAACAGTTACAAAAATGTTATTCAACAACTTTTTCTTACAATATTCCCTGAGATAAATTCCAGAAGTTTGACTAGTTATTAAATATTTTCCAACTTGAAGAAAAGCATGTTTTGTACAAAAAATACCACGAATCTCTAATTGTTTTTAAAATACTTTTATTTTATTTTATTCAGCACGTACTCCAGTACTTTCTTGGATAAATATTACTTTACAAGGTTTACCATGTATAAGAGCCTCTGGAGATCAATCATTCCATTTAAATAAATTTTATGATGTAGTAAACAGTCATACGGATGTCTTCTATATGAATTTAGCTGCAGCACTTTGGTTTGGTATACGTTTGGATCTTTCATGTGTAATATTTATAACTTGTGTTTCGGCTATATGCTTAATATTAGGAATATATTCAGGTAAGTATATTTATATATTATAATCCTGCTTTCATACTGTTTTTTCAGATTACTTAATATATATGGTAACTTCAAGTGCTTAGTTTGAATGTTCAGTGGTTTTGAACATATTTTATCAGAACTGATAATCATACAGATGATGTTATTCTATATAAGTTGATCAATGAATGGTAACCACTTACATATACCACCGCTTAAAACCGTAGTTGTTCAGACCTTCATTTTAAATGTGCAAAGTAAATTTTCAAGTTTGTTGTTTCAAAACGAACTAATAGTACTATTTTAATTATTTTCATGTATCACAGAAATACCAGGAGCTAATGTAGGTTTGATGTTCACTTATTCCAGTAGCTTGATAGGATTGTTCCAGTGGTGTGTACGACAGAGTACTGAAGTTGAAAATCAAGTGAGTGAATGAATTGCACAATTTTAAGGTAGTTTTCAATAATCATACTTTTAATCACTGCTTGTAAATGTTTGTTTACTATAATCAAGTATTATCTTGAAAATAATATCAGTTTGAACTTATACCTGTTGCTCATTTCAAAATGATAAAGGGAACTATGTGTATGAAATTATACCTTTGTTCAATAATTGGATAAAATAGTCTCTCGTTTTAATTGCTTATGACTTTGGTCAATAAGTTCTGAGTGCCATAATTAGGTTTACAGTACTCTCTGGTTTAAAATGAGTACTTGATTGATACCATGTTTTTGTTTAGTCTCAATGACGGTACTCTTCATTTATAGATTAATGTGGATTCTATTAGACATTTCGTTTGGCGACCTGATATTTATTAGGGGAAAGTTGTCTGCTTGAGGTAGCTAATGTCAAATTATTATTTAAATCATTCAGTAGCATCTGTTTTTGATATGACAATAGATTGTTTCACAAATTATGTGTTGTATGTGATTTTTACTGAAAAACCTTTCGACATCAACACTGAATTGCTGAATAACTGGTAAAAGGTGTGATTTGCTAAATTAAGTTGACAGCAATTCACATTTCCGAAGGAAATTAAAACCGGCTACTTATGTTAAACCTAGTTGTAATCTAAGTTTCTTACAACATTATTTTTTGTTCTCATACAGTTTTCTTATGTTACAGGATTCCATACTAGAATGTGACCGTCTGATTCACACGTTTTAGTGGTATTATTTTAATTTTAAAACTTTCAGATGGTATCTGTAGAACGTGCTATTGAATATGTAGAACTGGAACCGGAAACAACTGACGCACAAGAAACACTACAGCCAGATTCTGATTGGCCATCACGAGGACATATTCAATTTAAAGACTTTGGACTGCGTTATGCTTCATCCGATACATGGGCGTTGAAAAATATAAATTTGGACATAAGACCTGGATGTAAGGTAATGGATTTCTGGGTATTTTAGCTTCATGATAGGATTTTCGACTCTGTAATGTAATATCCAACCTTTAATATTACAGTTTGAATTTGAAGTGTATTTTATTGAGAAAAAATTTTCAGGTGTAAGATCTAGTTTTATTATAAGCATTACTTCTCAATTTTTAACTTCTTATTTACCTCCTGATGATGGTTCGCTTGGTTTACAGGTTTTATTAAGTACACCGTATCTTTCTAATTATAATACTGTGTTTGGTAGTCTGTGAGATGTATAATGTCATCACATCAGTATAAGAATATGAATTACTATTAATTATTCCCGACATTAAAAAGAATGTTAGAAACTTTATTTCTGAAATTGTTCAAATTCCATGAACTTTTAGCGACAATCTAGTAATCCCAACCAAGCACATTTGACTTTGTATATAATTTTAACTAAAATACTGATATATTTATCAGTTTTTCGAAGTGCATTCTATAAAACGTATGTGATTACTCAAGTTCGTTTATTTCGCTTGATTATGCTACAAATTTTTATTCAAGGATCCTTTAGAATTAATCTTCAATCATTTTGAAACTGTATAGTACCAATGTAATTTGCCTTCAGCACTCTTCACAATACGACGAAGTCTTTTCATAAAGGCCCAGGAAAATATAATGGAGAATAGTAAAGAATAATAGGTAATATTCAAGAATTAACAAGTCGTATGAGTAAATGTCCAGAAATGCCAAAAGCATACAGCCTCTTTATGTAGTAAGTCAGATGCAAAACTTTCTTCAATAACAATAAAGCATGAGAAAACCATAAGAGATTAGAGGGGAAACTTAGACCAAGGCAAATGACGTTTAACACTGAGTATCTGAGACCACTCATCACAAGTGTGGTGAATCCAAATAAATTTTATTTGACTTAAGTGATTATTTCACATTATTGAAATAATCTTACTTTATCACGTTCCGACTGTACGACGTAACTTATTTTAAGTGTTAGATGCTTGTAGATTGCTCGTTAACTGCAAAGTTTACTCCATACGTATAGAATATGGCCTGCGAATATAGAAGACATGCTTAGGGTATCATCTTTTGATCATAGATATCTTTAAAGCATAAAACGATTACCATGGACCGACCAAGTGAATAACGATGAAGTCAAGTAAAGATGGAAAATCGGTTGGTGTAGTGATGAATCTTCGTGGACTGGAGTGTCTATAAAATGCTTTATGCATGCTCAACCACTGTCTGTCTAGATATGTAGTGGCGGTTGGTGTGGGTTTGAAGAAAGCTAGAGATGGCTGAATCATGATATGGCTTCAGTTAATGTAGTAATTGACTGACTGAAGTGTGTTGGTACATAAGGACTTTTTGATTTTGGTTGGAGTGATAAACACGATCAGTGGTTGGAGACTTTTTGTGATAGTCTGTACGCTGTTTATGACTGACCGACTTACCTAGATACGTGTGCATAGGCTATACCGTAAGGTTTATCGTGAACGAATACTCTATATGACAATAATTAAAAAAGATAAATTCGTTGTAAAACTACTGAAACCGATAGGATGTGTAAAGCATACTGAATATTCTAGAAATACGTACAGTGGTTTTATTTTAGAAAGAGTGAATTGATCATCAGTCCTACAGTAGATGATAAGAAATATTTTTAACTGAGAATAATGATTTCAGAGATGTATTTCACTGAGCTGATTAGCTTTTTCGTGAAGCTTTCATTACTTTTCTCAACCAGATCATCAAAATACACTTCAGCAAAAACTGAGTCATCAGAATTTCTTTACAATTGACTAGTAGCTTGTTTTGTTGACCAAGAACTTGCTTGGTAGTTGTTCATTTCTGTGTGGCCGTTGTTTGCGCATTTGTTTTGACCGTTTTCACCCTGACTCTGCCAGAGGCTAATGTTATCAAGAATAAATGAGAGCTTCACAATCAAAACATTGCACTCAGAGAAAAAAGCACCTTCAAAAAGTTCTCTAGAACTTGATTATAGTTTAACAGCCAGAGTTTGGGATATTTTGTATGGTGTTTAATACTCTAAGCTTGTTTTTCTTATTGTCTGTTTATGTTAACTTACGTTTAATATTCATTGCACCATCATAATACCGTCAGGTAGTCTTAAGTAATCAACCATGGAAACCAGGAAGCATTGGACAGCTACTTCGTCGTAGTTTGGGACTCCTCAGCAGTGCTCATCAGGGACCCTACCAATAGGGATCGTGCACTCAATTTTCAGATTACTGAGCAGGAATATTATAGCGTAGATGTTGAACTTCACTTAATTTTTAATATTGAGCAACTACTTGTTTCTGGTGATTTTTTTATATCTTAGAACAGTTCATGATGTTAACTATGAAATTCAGAAAGATCTCCATGAGCCTGGTGCTGTAATATTCATTTCTATTTAGTTGAAATTCATGTTAAATAACACACATACTCATATCTCACTCTACATTGCTGATAAATACCGAATAGCGAGATACCTAGGTCCAGGGTTTTGTTGACCACAGACAACCGCCTAAAATCTCAATCAGATTAGATATAGATACGATTTGAATTGATAACTTAATTCACACAGACGTGTAGCCACAGGTATATTAGTCGATAACATTCTATCAGCACTGTAAGACTAGACGAAAATAGTATTTTTTACTACTACGTTATCGATCAGTTTTAAGTCCATATGATCTTCACTCGCCATAGTCTGTAATTGTATTACTCCTTGTGATTTCAGGCAGTTGCAGCTGATGATAAGCAAATTAAGTCCACTTTGTGTTGCAGTCATTGTTGTTCTTGACGTTTCAATAACATTAGTGTTGAGAATAAAAAATACCGTACTGGGAACTGTTTATGGAAATTCATTTCGTAAACTACATCTTCGATTTTGCAATATCTTTTATTAGGTGGGTATAGTGGGACGAACTGGTGCCGGAAAAAGTTCCATAATTTCTGCTCTATTTCGACTTGTTGAAGGCGAGCAAGGATGTATACTAATAGATGGAGTGGATATCAAACGTTTACAACTGGATTACCTGCGAAAAAGGATAGCAGTAATTTCTCAAGTAAGGGAATATTATTAAAAGTAAATAATTGCTTTATGTAGAGGAAGTTTTCAGTTAGTTTTATTAGACCGATTCCCATTAAGAACATCAACACCCCAATCTTGTTTCCACCATGTTCTGTGTTCCATCACACTGAAATGTTTAGATTACAGCTTTTGATTCTTCTAGTTGCCATTTCATTTATGAGTCATTAAATTGGACTTTAATGAGTAGAATATGAAGTATTTCCGAACCATATATCTTATTTAAATTACTTTCCTCTGTCAGTATCGGAAGTCATGACTTATAAAACAAGAAAGAAACCATATTGTTAACAAACGCTGGTATAAATATGGAAGATTAGTTAGGCGAGGTCATTGAATTCGGAAATGATGTCCAATAAACCAAGAATTGAAAAAAACCGCGCAAAATATTATTCGACCTTGATAGATCACGACATAATCGAAGCGAACACAATAACATGAACTAATTTTCCTATCATGGTATCAATATCAATTACTTACAGCATGTTACATGATTTTTATAATTCAGGAGAATGCGGATGTATGTCAGTCCACTGAGACTGGTAGTTAGTCGGAAGGTGAAGTAAGCTAAGACGTCAATATTATTGTAAGAATGAGGTATACGTGTGTTTGTTATTTCGATTTTTCTACCGATGGATTTACTGTAATAATAAACTTGTTTTCCTATTGGTAGATGCCCGGATCTTATAAATGGTTAATTAGAGAATACTCACGCCCTCTCAACTAAATGTTTATGAATCATTATTTGAATAAATAACTCCCTAAGGCGGTGATTAATTCCAACTTAATCGACATTCAGAAGGACGTTCTAGAAAAAGCACGGGAGTATTAATAAGATCTGTTTCCGTGATCTCGGGTAACTCTTTTGTGGCATACAGAGAATTAAATCTCTGCTAATATCATAAGTCCACCCATATGTATGAGATATGTTGCTGATTCATTTATAATAATGAAGTCAATGAACCTGAGATCCTCATTCAAACTCACAAGAACATTATCCGTTCATATCAAATTCACTTTCAAAAATGAAAATAACCAACCGGTTACTACAGCTAATTCGTATAAACAACGAAATCTCACTTACATCAGCACAGAATTGTGTCAACAGAGCAGGGTTATGTCAATTGCGTTAAACTTTATATTGTGAGGTCTTCTCGTGAAATTGTAGTGGCTTTACTTCGTTACTCAATCACCCTTGAGACCGTTATTACATACATTTCAACGGCTTTTCAAATCAGAAGGCAATAACAAGCGGCAACTACAGTTTTTTCAGCCGACAGGGAAGAAGATCACATTGCCATAAACACATTCAGCGAATTCGAAGCATGGAGGCCAATATGCATGTACGAGCCAATTCATAGGCAAATTAATTTACAGTCAGATCATATTAGGGCACAACAAGTCAAGGCAAAGTTTAACAATAGGATTTGAGCACATATATACATGGGGAGCATAGTGATAGTCTGTACGCTGTTTATGACTGACCGACTTACCTAGATACGTGTGCATAGGCTATACCGTAAGGTTTATCGTGAACGAATACTCTATATGACAATAATTAAAAAAGATAAATTCGTTGTAAAACTACTGAAACCGATAGGATGTGTAAAGCATACTGAATATTCTAGAAATACGTACAGTGGTTTTATTTTAGAAAGAGTGAATTGATCATCAGTCCTACAGTAGATGATAAGAAATATTTTTAACTGAGAATAATGATTTCAGAGATGTATTTCACTGAGCTGATTAGCTTTTTCGTGAAGCTTTCATTACTTTTCTCAACCAGATCATCAAAATACACTTCAGCAAAAACTGAGTCATCAGAATTTCTTTACAATTGACTAGTAGCTTGTTTTGTTGACCAAGAACTTGCTTGGTAGTTGTTCATTTCTGTGTGGCCGTTGTTTGCGCATTTGTTTTGACCGTTTTCACCCTGACTCTGCCAGAGGCTAATGTTATCAAGAATAAATGAGAGCTTCACAATCAAAACATTGCACTCAGAGAAAAAAGCACCTTCAAAAAGTTCTCTAGAACTTGATTATAGTTTAACAGCCAGAGTTTGGGATATTTTGTATGGTGTTTAATACTCTAAGCTTGTTTTTCTTATTGTCTGTTTATGTTAACTTACGTTTAATATTCATTGCACCATCATAATACCGTCAGGTAGTCTTAAGTAATCAACCATGGAAACCAGGAAGCATTGGACAGCTACTTCGTCGTAGTTTGGGACTCCTCAGCAGTGCTCATCAGGGACCCTACCAATAGGGATCGTGCACTCAATTTTCAGATTACTGAGCAGGAATATTATAGCGTAGATGTTGAACTTCACTTAATTTTTAATATTGAGCAACTACTTGTTTCTGGTGATTTTTTTATATCTTAGAACAGTTCATGATGTTAACTATGAAATTCAGAAAGATCTCCATGAGCCTGGTGCTGTAATATTCATTTCTATTTAGTTGAAATTCATGTTAAATAACACACATACTCATATCTCACTCTACATTGCTGATAAATACCGAATAGCGAGATACCTAGGTCCAGGGTTTTGTTGACCACAGACAACCGCCTAAAATCTCAATCAGATTAGATATAGATACGATTTGAATTGATAACTTAATTCACACAGACGTGTAGCCACAGGTATATTAGTCGATAACATTCTATCAGCACTGTAAGACTAGACGAAAATAGTATTTTTTACTACTACGTTATCGATCAGTTTTAAGTCCATATGATCTTCACTCGCCATAGTCTGTAATTGTATTACTCCTTGTGATTTCAGGCAGTTGCAGCTGATGATAAGCAAATTAAGTCCACTTTGTGTTGCAGTCATTGTTGTTCTTGACGTTTCAATAACATTAGTGTTGAGAATAAAAAATACCGTACTGGGAACTGTTTATGGAAATTCATTTCGTAAACTACATCTTCGATTTTGCAATATCTTTTATTAGGTGGGTATAGTGGGACGAACTGGTGCCGGAAAAAGTTCCATAATTTCTGCTCTATTTCGACTTGTTGAAGGCGAGCAAGGATGTATACTAATAGATGGAGTGGATATCAAACGTTTACAACTGGATTACCTGCGAAAAAGGATAGCAGTAATTTCTCAAGTAAGGGAATATTATTAAAAGTAAATAATTGCTTTATGTAGAGGAAGTTTTCAGTTAGTTTTATTAGACCGATTCCCATTAAGAACATCAACACCCCAATCTTGTTTCCACCATGTTCTGTGTTCCATCACACTGAAATGTTTAGATTACAGCTTTTGATTCTTCTAGTTGCCATTTCATTTATGAGTCATTAAATTGGACTTTAATGAGTAGAATATGAAGTATTTCCGAACCATATATCTTATTTAAATTACTTTCCTCTGTCAGTATCGGAAGTCATGACTTATAAAACAAGAAAGAAACCATATTGTTAACAAACGCTGGTATAAATATGGAAGATTAGTTAGGCGAGGTCATTGAATTCGGAAATGATGTCCAATAAACCAAGAATTGAAAAAAACCGCGCAAAATATTATTCGACCTTGATAGATCACGACATAATCGAAGCGAACACAATAACATGAACTAATTTTCCTATCATGGTATCAATATCAATTACTTACAGCATGTTACATGATTTTTATAATTCAGGAGAATGCGGATGTATGTCAGTCCACTGAGACTGGTAGTTAGTCGGAAGGTGAAGTAAGCTAAGACGTCAATATTATTGTAAGAATGAGGTATACGTGTGTTTGTTATTTCGATTTTTCTACCGATGGATTTACTGTAATAATAAACTTGTTTTCCTATTGGTAGATGCCCGGATCTTATAAATGGTTAATTAGAGAATACTCACGCCCTCTCAACTAAATGTTTATGAATCATTATTTGAATAAATAACTCCCTAAGGCGGTGATTAATTCCAACTTAATCGACATTCAGAAGGACGTTCTAGAAAAAGCACGGGAGTATTAATAAGATCTGTTTCCGTGATCTCGGGTAACTCTTTTGTGGCATACAGAGAATTAAATCTCTGCTAATATCATAAGTCCACCCATATGTATGAGATATGTTGCTGATTCATTTATAATAATGAAGTCAATGAACCTGAGATCCTCATTCAAACTCACAAGAACATTATCCGTTCATATCAAATTCACTTTCAAAAATGAAAATAACCAACCGGTTACTACAGCTAATTCGTATAAACAACGAAATCTCACTTACATCAGCACAGAATTGTGTCAACAGAGCAGGGTTATGTCAATTGCGTTAAACTTTATATTGTGAGGTCTTCTCGTGAAATTGTAGTGGCTTTACTTCGTTACTCAATCACCCTTGAGACCGTTATTACATACATTTCAACGGCTTTTCAAATCAGAAGGCAATAACAAGCGGCAACTACAGTTTTTTCAGCCGACAGGGAAGAAGATCACATTGCCATAAACACATTCAGCGAATTCGAAGCATGGAGGCCAATATGCATGTACGAGCCAATTCATAGGCAAATTAATTTACAGTCAGATCATATTAGGGCACAACAAGTCAAGGCAAAGTTTAACAATAGGATTTGAGCACATATATACATGGGGAGCAGGATGAATCATCGAGTGATATTTAAGCGATCAACATTCTAGCAAGTGTCTGTCATGTGATGATCTAGTGATCCTAACAGAACAAAGAAATATGTGAATTGTTACTGTTCAAATAACATTGTCTGTTAAATAAGTTAATAAAAGGCCTTAACCAAAATTAACCATAATCGGAATTGGTTGTAGGATAGTTGCTATAATACCTTAACTGTGATAAAGAATAAACATGGTACACAAAAGGTCGGGATAGTCTCGCTAGTGTTGGATTTTCGAATCGAGTGAGTAGTAGCAAAATATTCAATATTCAACAACCATGACGCGGATAACCTAACGTTACCATGATCAGATCTGTTTGTATGTCCTCGCTATTTGCGCTATTTTAAGTTGTGTCAATTTAAAAACAGCTAATTATTCTGCGAAAATGCAACTCACAACAAGCGGAAAGACGTCAGACGTCAAACGTCTTGCTGATAAAATGGGACCACGATAGGTCAGGTAAAGTGAAGAATTAGGTAAGGGTTATTGGTGCACAGTGTTTTGGATGATCGTTAGTGGAAAAATATGCTGGAATACATTGCTAGCAATTGACTTATTCTAAATAAAACAAAATATACGTTTTATCTTATAGAGCATAATGAAAAAAATTATTGCAAGCGTATTTGTAAGGCCCATATTTTTTATCCTAACTGGTTGGCTGAATATGAAGCTCGGAAGCTTCACAAAACAGATTAATACACACTTACATAAATGGTTCTGATGTGAAGAATTTAGTCAGATATAGGTTAGTTTATATGTTCATTTGAAAACCACGTTCCTTAGTCTTTTATCTCTAATTTATTGATTACACTGATTTCCATTGTTTGTTTAAAATGTCCATGACTTCTTAAAGAAGCTTCCTAACTCTGCTAGCTAATTTAGTCAGTCTTTTTCAAAAGAGATTAATACTTACCCGTCATAAAACCATACAACTTTGCTAGTAATTTTTTATTCATTCTTCGAAGATTCTGACTCTGACACTTCCAATTGTGAACTAGCTATTTAAGTACCGAAAGGCTTGTATCCACAATGTGACAGTGACCCCAGTTCTAGTGGGTCTAAGTGTCTACCCAATGTTGGTAGAGTACATTGAAGATTTTTTTACAGTATTTTAATTTTATTCTGAGTCTACTAGTAAAAAAAATATTTATAGATTTTCTAGTAAGTATTTTAACAAATTAGGATCCAATCATGTTCACTGGAACGGTTCGAATGAACATGGACCCTTTAGGTGAGAAAACAGATGAAGCGATTTGGAAGGCCTTGGAAAGTGTAAGTCTTATTGCAATAAGTTTATACAGAACTGCTTATTTTTTCTGTAAACTATTTCACCACTTATTTTTAGTGTTTAGTTCTGTGTCAAGTCCATATGAGTTATTCTAGCTTCCGGACAGACATTTATGTATTAATCTTGCTCCGCACTTTGACCTTGTCAATTATTCGCTTATAACCTTGACTATTTTTATATAAGCGTATGTGTCTCCATCCCTCACCCTTCTCATGACATTTCTCTAACTTGTTTTTATCTGGCTATAAATATTAAGTCACTCTTGATCAAATCGAGTTGGCATGTTTGCCTTCTCCGCTTTGTTTCTCTAATTATCTGTCTAGATCAACGAGTGTATGAAATGTGTGTAACCGAAATTCATTCTCGTATATGACTTATTTCATCCTGTTATTCTATAACACAAATCAAGTCGACAATTATGTACGAGGGTTGGTGGCATGTATATTTCGTTAGCATTATCATACAACTAAATCGGTGTCAGATCAACGGGCCACAAAACACTAATGTCTTGCAAGATGAGAATTAATATTATCTGAAAAGTCATAGTTGATCAGAATGATAGGTTAATGTTATTTGATCATTGTCGGATTTTACGCTTCTTAACATTATGCTTTGCTAGATCTTTAAAGTATATCCCTCAGTTTTCATTTCTATGCCTGCTGTATTGCTATGGCTTTTAACCGTGCGATTATTATTTCAAGAAACATTTGACTCCTTTTTATCTTGGCCAAGCATGTTTTCACGTCTTTGTCAGATTTCGACATCGCTTAGACCTAACATGATTCTTACTGTGAGTTTGTTAACATGATTACTTCACTGTTCTTTTTTTGTAACGTTTAATCTTTTTATCAGTTGGTTTATCCTACCGATAACAATTCTAATATGTAAAAGTACTGAGTTTTTAGATGACTTAACCACACAAAAATGGAATCAGATAAACGTATTCCACAAAGTTTATTGTTCATGCTGAACAATATCATATGTGAGAGATGAAATTTACATAATTCCGATCAATTATTTAGATGTTTTATTACCCCAGTCGCATGTTAAGAAAGTATTTAGATAACCGTGAACAGCTATTAATTTATTGGAGACCGATTAATTTAATCTGAACTGTAGTCCAAGTTAAACCATTACAATATGTTTTCATGATGTGATGTATGTAGACTAGTATTTTCCGTTAAATGTAGTAGCATAGGACAATCTGATTGGAAATAGTGACCTTGAGTAATGACTTTATAAATAAAGGAAAAATGACTTGTTATGCTGATTAACTGAATGTTTTCAAAAGGAATACGCGGATTGATTGAATCGAATTGGGCTCAAAAATACTCTTCGACGAATGAACATACGGTTGAGTTACTGACTTCAGTAGTTCTTGAAGCGTTACTACTAATTCAATCAGATGCGTTTAAAATCTCAGCCAAGGACGGAAGTCTTTCAAAATTTCCTCAATACTTATCATTGGCATTAGAAAGCTTTGTTTTGCTTGTTTTTTTCCGTTACCGAATTCTTTTCTTCACTCTAAGCATCTGATCTCAAACTCATATTTCGATTTTTTTAATTCCTTGAGTTGCTGGCGGAAGGAGCGATTTCCTCATCTCTGTTTACAAATTATTACTAATATGAAGTTTATGCTGTCCATTCCCAAGTTTCCCGTAGGTTACAAATTTTTCATAGTTCACTTAGTCGAAAAGTATGTTTTAGTACCTCCGAACAATACCTGAATAGTTGAGTAAATAATATCTTTAGAAGTACTGTCACCAAAACAACTCATGATTTTTTATCTTTATCTCCATAAGAATCGAGATGTACTAGTAAGTGGAAAAAATAACCAAAAACACAGTCACTCATTGAATTTCTGTTGAACTGTTTCCTTTAAGTAAATCTGAAGCCTTCTTCACAACACATAATGCTTAAAACCGAAAGAAAACGCATACCAATAACCATATACAACAAACAGATCACAACGTCTTTTAACAAAACAATACTGAGTTAAGGTCTGAATTAAACAGTTCTTGAAATTCAAAAATTTGATTTCTGATGCCTCATAGGTAACAAATATTTTGTTTAGCTAACGTCTACGATTATCAATTTATTTATCAACCTAATCGTCTAGATGGTTTACCCTATTCTCATTGATCTCAATATTTTACATATTCAGTGGTTCTTAACTTGGGAAAACTTACTGTCCACTTTTATTCTAGAAGTATTTGCCATCAAGTTAATACTAATCTAACAGTGTATTTCAAATTATCAAATAAAATTGCTCCGAACATTCATAACACGTTCCTATAAATTGAGATGGAAGTCAATTTTTACTTGTTGAGGTTTTATACTGATTATTTTAACTTGTATGTGATATTTGTCAGTGGTACGGGTACGCGAACACCGTGTATCTTGCATATTCCGTAAGGTTATATATTCTTGAGGAGTGCAATACTAAGATGAATCAACTGTCCAGTCCTCCCTAGTACTCAACAAATAGTCAAGTTAGATGGCTTCGTGACGAGAATGTACTTTTTTTCCCATGAAAGTTGCGGTATGGTATTATTTTATGTAAATAGTTGAACAATAAGTCTCATGCTTCATTAGATTTCATCTTTTTAGGAAGTTGCTCCATATCTGTAATCATATTTTATTGCCTGCAGATACAGCTGGACAAGACAGTTAAAAATCTCGGTAATGGGTTAGATTCACTAATCAATGAAGGCGGTTCTAACTTAAGTATTGGACAGAGACAATTATTTGCATTATCCCGAGCAATTATAAGTGGAAGCCGCATATTGGTGGTAGATGAAGCAACATCCAACGTTGATCCCAGGTAAATATTATATAATTTAAAGTCGTACTATAATTTTTAGTGTTTTGTTTGGACGTTATATAATTTTGTTTCAAATTTGTTGTTTTCAGTACTGATTTCATCATTCAGAAAACTCTCAGGAGCATTTTCAAAGACGTTACAGTTTTAACTGTTGCACATAGACTACATACTGTCATAGATAATGAAATTGTAGTGGTTATGGAGAGTGGCGAAGTAATAGAATCCGGTCATCCGCATGTGCTTCTTAATCCCGATCTTGCTGAGACTGATAAAAAGAATTACAACGTGGATGAAAATCACTTATCAACTACTGATGATATTCAAATAAGTGGTAATGGTCCACTAGCAAAATTAGTAAAGCAATATGGGGATAATGAGTCCAGAAATTTAGCTCAGATAGCACGAAAATCATTTATCGAGATGCTGGGAAATGAAGACGCTATTCTTTAATTACCTTACCTACTTTGTAATTGTACAAATCAATTTCATAACGCTATGTTTTACAACGTGATTATTTTCCTGTGATTTGATAATAAACGAGCGAAGTCTGAGACCTTAATTCTTTTGGTTCGATATCATTTTCTGGGTTCATCGAGGACAAAATTTTTTATGCTGCACAACACTAGCTAAATGTCGATATAAGCCAATACTAGCTAGGTTCTGTATCACAATTTATTAACTAATTGTAGACAATTCAGTTTATTAGTTAAGCAGTACGAAGGATTTATTAATTTAGAATATCTCCTTACCGTTCAGTTTAAATTCGTATAAGAAATTTCTGAAGACACGGTTTCTGTATGTAGGATAAAAAAATGGTGAAAAGTATCCCAATGTTGAAATTTAATCAAAATACGGAAATAATCCCAAATGAACCATATATGCTGAAAAATGTTTTTGTTGTGGCACAAAGTAGCGTGATATGTATAATTTTGTTACATTACAACAAATGGTATCAATAGTAAGGTTGGACTTGATAGTTTCAAATAAATTGAGCACTGGGTAGAGAGTTAATAATAAATAACCGATAATTTTTCTGTCGGTTATTCATTTACTCTGAAGAAGTGGTTTACATTGAGCCACGAAACGTCAGAAACACAATTTTCCTACTCATCGGGATACAACAAAAACATCTCTATTATAATGACAAGTGGTTCGATTTTATTTATTATTCAGTGCCTAGGCTTGGTCAGTAATCTGATAATGGTTAGTTGTGATCAGTGAAAGAATTACCAAAAGAGAGTATTGGTTCACCCAGTTCATACTGAAAGTACGTTGAAGTGTTAGTTAGTGAATCTGATATTTGGTTAGATCTTACGATGAGTAATGACCCCATAATGTTCACTAAATCCAAAGCTAAATGCTCAAACAATAAATTAGGAGAAAGCTGCAGGTTCTGAAGACAACTAGATGTTGAGGAAAATAATGTTGAAGTAGTAAACACTTATTTCTTCAACCAGAATGTACACCAGTATTTCCTTTATAACGATAATGAATGATAGTAAATAGAAATATACTTTCGATCATAGGTGAATTTACCAAACTAATATCCAGAAGGGCTTGCTTTGCCAGGAATCGTTCTCGTTGGATGCGTTCTTTCAAACTACTTGGAACATCTGGAATGAAGAAATCTAGAGCGTTCGCCAAAACAAATGCCACGTGCTATAAAATTAAATATGTCGTCGTTAATGAAACCAATTATCTACTAAGATCAAAGTAAATTAAGTGAAATGTGTGTAATCGAAATAATTACTGTTAGAGAATATTATTTAGTTCCCTTGGTGATTTTCCTGATTACTTGTTGCGCCAAATTAAAACAACCGACGGAATCGAGACAGCAATTGTGTTTGAGATGCATTCAAAGAATCTGAGTAGACAAAAGTCCCAATTATGTTTCATTTAACTGGACAATTTTGTAACAGAATCATTCGGGTGAAGAATATTCACTCACTGTGAACAAAACTAAATGTTAAACAAATGTGGGGATTTTCGACTAGTTTATTCATTGAACAAAACGTACTGTAATTGAGGTAGAACGTTCCCATTTTATCTGGTTGTTACGTTCTTACATAGTTGAGCGATTGCTCAGTTCTTTTTTAATCGTGGAACCAAAATAATTCAACATTAGAAGAAATAGTGCTGTGTTTTTTTAATAAAAAACCTCCTAATATTCTCGGGAAGAAAATTTGGAATTGCACAAAACCAACCATACTTATATCATATCTGGATCACAGCAACTATCCTACAACCAATTCCGATTATGGTTAATTTTGGTTAAGGCCTTTTATTAACTTATTTAACAGACAATGTTATTTGAACAGTAACAATTCACATATTTCTTTGTTCTGTTAGGATCACTAGATCATCACATGACAGACACTTGCTAGAATGTTGATCGCTTAAATATCACTCGATGATTCATCCTGCTCCCCATGTATATATGTGCTCAAATCCTATTGTTAAACTTTGCCTTGACTTGTTGTGCCCTAATATGATCTGACTGTAAATTAATTTGCCTATGAATTGGCTCGTACATGCATATTGGCCTCCATGCTTCGAATTCGCTGAATGTGTTTATGGCAATGTGATCTTCTTCCCTGTCGGCTGAAAAAACTGTAGTTGCCGCTTGTTATTGCCTTCTGATTTGAAAAGCCGTTGAAATGTATGTAATAACGGTCTCAAGGGTGATTGAGTAACGAAACAAAGTTACTACGTGGTTAGCAATAGGGAATACTATGACTCAGATGAGGTCACTGTAAAGTATGGAAAACCAACTTATGCAATTAGTGGATGCCTTTACATAAATTGTTTAATCCATCAAACCGAATGGTGCTTTTACAGTTAATTTGTGTTTTTTAAAAGGGAAGTTGAATTCTACATATAAAATCACTGTATATTTTGATTTACTATGTTGGGATACTCAGAAAAATATCCCAAAAAAAAAACAATTATCCGGTTAAGTCTAACGCTACCCTTGAAGGTTAAATGGTGTCATTTCCCTATTGGTCGTTTCCCTACTGATCAATATTTATTTCGCGTGTCATTTTCCTATTGGTCAATATTATTTAACGTGTCATCTTTCTGTTGGTCAATATTTATAGTAATCCTAACTGTATAAATATGCATTTGTTTGTAAATCATTATTCTGCTGCTCCTGACCCCATAAACGATTTTTCAGCTACGGTTCGTGTTCTGATATATTGGAGATTGGGAACAGTATTAGGGTCGAACTGGGATATCTGAAGCTAGTCAATCGGTAGAATTTAGAGTAGCCAACTCACGATTCACAATATACTATTTCGAGTGGAATTCCCGGAAGGAATTTATATGACAGTTGTACTGATTTCCACCTATGAGAATACCACTTAACTGATTTATTACATTGGAAAATATCATTTATTTTGAATATCGTTGACCTATGTATACACTAGTTTAGATGTGACTGTTCTTCATATATAGTGTATCAATCTATGAAAACATGATTTCTGAGAACTCCGTTAAGTAGTTCCATAATTGACCCGAAAGAATTTTTTGTGAGCAGAAACTGTTAGCTTTAGAGAATCTTAACTAGAAGGTATTAGTTGTTGATCAACGAGTGTAGTAATTTAAACTGAAAAATCTTATGCGAGTTCAAAGAACATAATGAAGAAACGAGTTGTGGATTCGAATTTCCATTGGCTTACCATCGTCGTCTTTGATAGGTCTCTGTTTGTTTATCATATTTTCCTTCTAGTTTCTTCGTTGCGTCATGTAGCTGTCTCATATTTCCTTATCTTGAAGTTTTTTTCGCTGTGGTTGCTAGCTCTTCCACACCTTGTCAGTTCTAATGCACATCTTCACTTGCCTGTTCGCTTCAGTGTATCCAGCTTGTGACTTGATTTTCTATGCTCATGTTCTGGTATTGTTTATTTCTGTCTTCTTCTTTAGTTTTATGGTTCCGTTCAAAATGGAGCTTATTCATTTTTTTTTGACTTTACACGTTCACCATCCGAAGAATCGAAGTCATGATTACGCAATGTTATATTCATATTCACTACAATCAAGCTATAGTGTTGAATTTGTGTATTTACAATTAATATTGATTTTTGTTGTTTATATGATATAATATCAGATGGGTTTTTTGTGGAGATTGTAGTAATTTCAATGGTTAAGATCATGAGTCAGTTGAAGCTAGACCACTATGGAAAACCTGGAAGCACTGGACGGCCGTTTCGTCCTATTGTGGGACTCCTCAGTGGTGCGCATCCACGACCTCGCCCCCTGCGAGATTCGAACCCAGGACCTACTGGTTTCGCGCCCGAGCACTTAACCCCTAGACCACTGAGCCGGCATCCAACGGTGTTAATGTCTAACTTCAACTAATCCACGAAATTGAGCGACACATTCACTATTGTCTTCAGTGAGTTACTACCTCACAACAGACCTGGTTGAACTCCACTGGTCACTACTTCTCACTAGAACTCCAGGATATACCTCGTGAAGCCAGTCACTAGTGAGCATATTTTGATTAATATCAGATGGGTTTTTTGTGGAGATTGTAGTAATTTCAATGGTTAAGATCATGAGTCAGTTGAAGCTAGACCACCATATTTATGAATTATTGCTCAGTATTCTGTACAATCGTCTTTTAACCACTTGGTCATGAGGTAAAATCTACTGTTTACTAAATGTAGGTAAAGTTTCGGTGGTATCATTGGCTTTCACGAACATACATTAATAACATGTTGTATCTTTGATTGTTTTCTACGAACATTTAATTTAAAACAATCAATCTTAGTCAACATATCAAAGTTTCTAATTATAATTTGTCTATTCGTTTTATCAATGTTTGGTATAGTGAATTTCAAATGTTATCTGCACATGATTATCTAAATGTGGATATTAGTATTACTATTATTGTTATCATCATGTGTAACAGAAATCTCGAATTTTTCGAAGATAAAAGCCATAAATGTGTATCTCTATTGTTTATTGATTAATTTTATGTTGATTAAGATGAGTAATTTTCTCTTTACTGATAATAATAATTCTATGTTGTCTTAGAACATTTCAATTATTAATAACAGTTGAATACTTTGCTAAAGTATTTCCAACTGATTTTTAGATAATGAGTGTTTTACACTGAGCAGAACTTTATCTGAAACTTCGTTACATGTATGTTTCTTTACTAAGCCTGTACATACATTTTTTTCAGTTTACTACACCACATTAACATAGCGAAATGCAGAAGTAGAATAAGCGCTAACAGTATACGTTATAGTAGGAAAGATAAGTATTAACAATATAATTTGTGAAGAAGGTATACATTTGTGGAATTGGAAAAGAATGTAAGATAGTTTAGAAACTTAGGTGCTAAGGGGAAGACAAAGGGTGGGCGCACCTAGGTCATCGATAAGGATTATATATATCCTAATCAGTGTAACAGGTTATTATTGTTCAGTTATTGAATCTAGGTTGAATGGATATTCTTACTGACTGTACAAATTTCTAATTCTGTATTGTGATTTTCGGAATTGGAATCCGTACATGATGTTGGTGCAGAATTGACAGCCAATCCAAA